TGTAAAGGACCTGCCTAGTATGGGCCAGCAGGCCTCCTGCAGTGTTCCTCCTTTTCTTATGTTCTTATGTTCTTAATATGTTTATGATTAGTAACCTTTTTAAGTTTTTTTTTTTTACCTTTGCGGCTCTGCCTGGGGATAGCCTTTTCAGCAGATTAACTATTAAACCAAGCTGTTGGTGTTGGCAGTCAACTGGCCCACATATCCATCATCTAGGCTGATCTAGCACTTAAGAACATTAAGAACTGAGGAACACTGCAATGGGTCTACTGGCCCATGTTAGGCAGGTCCTTCTCAAATCCAACCATTCCCACCCAAAAATATGTCCAATCTATACCCAAAACTACCCAAGAAATTAACTTCAATACCTCAGATCCTCATCAAATCCAACCTTTCTCACTCGTATTTAGTTTTTTTTTTTTTGACGAACTTTCTGTATCCCGCCAAGGCAGGGTGACCTAAAGGAAAAACAAATGTTTTTTACTTGTATACTTGTGAGTGGTGCATTAAGGTATATGTGGAGGCAAAAAATGTTATCTATGGAGGCAAAGAAGGGAATGAATGTAAGTATAGTAGTACCAACACTCTTATATGGGTGTGAAGCTTGGGTTGTAAATGCTGCAGCGAGGAGGCAGTTGGAGGCAGTGGAGATGTCCTGTCTAAGGGCAATGTGTGGTGTAAACATTATGCAGAAAATTCAGTGTGTGGAAATTAGGAGAAGGTGTGGAGTTGAAAAAAGTATTACTCAGAGGGCTGAAGAAGGTTTGTTGAGGTGGTTTAGTCATTTAGAAAGAATGGATCGAAGTACAATGACATGGAGAGTGTATAAATCTGTAGGGAAAGGAAGGTAGGGTAGGGGTTGCCCTCGAAAAGGTTGGAGGGAGGGGGTAAAGGAGGTGTTGTGGGCGAGGGGTTTGGACTTCCAGCAAGCGTGCGTGAGCGTGTTTGATAGGAGTGAATGAAGACAAATGGTATTTGGGACCTGACGAGCTGTTGGAGTGTGAGCAGGGTAATATTTAGTGAAGGGATTGAGGGAAACTGGTTATTTTATATAACTGGACTTGAGTCCTGGAAATGGGAAGTACAATGCCTGCACTCTAAAGGAGGGGTTTGAGATATTGGCAGTTTGGAGGGATATATTGTGTATTTTTATACGTATATACTTCTAAACTGTTGTATTCTGGGCACCTCTGCAAAAACAGTGATTATGTGTGAGTGAAGTGAAAGTGTTGAATGATGATGAAAGTATTTTTTGGGGGATTTTCTTTCTTTTTGGGTCACCCTGCCTCGGTGGGAGACGGCCAATTTGTTGAAAAAAAAAAAAAACTTGTCTAACATATTTTTAAAGGTTTTAGCTTCTATGACTACTTGGCAGTGTGTTCCACTCACCAGCAACTCAGCTTGAAAACCAGTATTTTCCTATGTGCTTTCTAAACTTACCTAATTTAAATTTATTTCAAGTTTTTTTTTTTACTCAATATCCTCAGTGCTCTATTTATATTGCCTATGTATACTTTATGATGAAAACATGCTCCAGTGTCAAGGATGCCCCCTCCCCAAGTCTGACTGCCTAAATTTTAGAAAAAACAAAAAGAAATGGTACCCATTGTAATAACAGTAATAAAGATATGTTAACATAACTTTATTACCGTTATGTTAACATAACTTTATTACCATTATTACCATGGATACAGACTTGAGTCCTGGAAGTAGTAGGTACAGTGATTGCACTCTGAAGGAGGGGTGGAGATATGATGCAGTTTTTTAACTGTAGTGTCAGCATGCCTCTGGCAAGATAGTGATGAAGTAAGTGATGATGAAAGCGTTCCTTCTTTTCTCAGGTCACCCTGCCTCGGTGGGAAATGGCCAATATGTCAAAAAAAAAAAAAAAAAAAAAAAAAAAAAAAAAAAAAAAAAAAAAAATCAGCATAGAAAACTAATGGTAAAATTCTGAGGGCTAAGGAAAGGGTTGTTGAGGTGGTTTGTGCATTTACAGATTGGAGCAAAACAGGATGACCAAGGTGTAATAATTCCTAGGGTGGAATGATGTTTGGCCCAGATGGCTGACACGCCAATTTTAAAAAACATTGGTTCCCAAACTGGCGGTAAATTTACCCTTGGTAATTAAGCCATTTTTGGGGCTAATGCAGGGGTTGAAAAAAAGTTTTTATGTCTTTCTAAACATCAATAAAATGCGTTACCGGGTATTGATGTTTTGTTAACTCTCTGCTTATTTATATTGCTTAAATACTATAAATAATAGTTAAACCAAATAACAATATGCCTCCAAAGCTAATGCTAAATTAGAAAAAAAAGAAATTGTACATTGTATAACAGAATAAAGATATTTGACAATTATGCTTATGTAAAAAGTCACTCATTACATTAGCCAGGATACGACTGCCTGTACGCAGTCACTATACAGTGAGCTGCCTCATACACGTGTCAGTTTATTGATGCAAGCTGTGTACGATAAGTGGTTGCTCTAATAGTGATGCCTAAGTGATATATAGTAGTGATTTCCACTGTTTGTGAAGGTCACCTATCTTTAGTTGGAAATGGTTGTTCATAACGTTTTCAAATGAGTATAAAAAAAAAAAAAAAAAAAGAATAAAAGCGTAAAATAAGGTTTAAATTCTGAGTAATAAAGGTTGTTGAGGTGTTTTTTGAAAGGAGGTAACATGTGTGGCCATGTTAAATTAAACCAGGTGAAATGTTGGCGAAGCTGCACAAGCATTAGGGAATGTAACCTCTGCAGTCTGTGAGAGTCTACTGTATAAGGAAAGAAAAGCTGGAGGTCAGAGTGGAAGGGAGTATGGAAGAAGTGAATGTATTTAGATACTGTACTTGGGATTGAATGTGTCAGCAGATTTTGGTCATGGAATGATAAGATAAATCTCAGAAATGATGAATGGAAAGAAAGTTGCAAGAGCATTTAGGAATCCATAGAAAGAAAATACTTGAATGCATGAAAAAAGAAATGAAAAACTCATAAGATATTGTGGATCGTTGTATGAAATGTATTACTTAACATGCATAATATGGGATGTTGAAATGGCTAGAATATGCATAAAAATTCAGCAAAATGTTGATAAAGAGGGTGTAATAATCAGAGAAGGATGGGAGGTGTAAGAAATGTATAAAATCAGTACTGAGATGACAGGGCTTTAACATCTGGTAGGCATATGTGAATGTGTTTAAGAAGTAGGGGTCATCCCAGGAAGGCTTGTGTAAGTCTGTTAACCCGTCAACGGTCCAAACATATACATACGTTTTTACCACTAGTGCCCCAAACGTATATATACGTTTTATGTGTCATACATTTAACATTGCCACGATAAGCCTGAGTCACCTAGACATGAGAGAATGGGTGTGAGCACTCACTGTGCGCCATATTAAAATAATTGGGGATGCCTGGGTACAATATGCTCTTTTTTCCTATTAAAAAACAACAATGTTTTTTTTTCTCGAAAAAGTTGGGGCAGTACGGTAGTGAACGTATATATACGTTTGGACCATTTACGGGTTAAGGGGGGCTGGACACTTCGCGCGGAGTAAAAAAAAAAATCGAAAAAAATATGAAAATTGAGTTATTGTTACCAAAAAATAGCTGAACTCTCTGGCTACACTCTGGTATAATTATTATCCTTATACCATGTTTCTAAAAGGAATTACAGCCATTTATAACATGCTTGGTGACAGCGCCTTGTGTAACAAGTGCTGACGCGGCATTTCCCCCCCCCCCCCCGTGCTATTTTTATCGTGTTCTTATGTCTTTATGTCTAATATAATACAAATTCACTGTCTGAGATCATGCCAGAGTGGGCGGAGCTAATATGGTCCAAGGGGCCAATCGGGAACCCTGGGAATTGTGCCCAAAATGGCCGACACCTCCAGCAAACAAAATATTCCATACTCACGCTAATATTAATTATAAGGCTTATTTACCTATCACAATTGATCTAATATGACATAATACAATATAACAATAGCATAGAAACAAAAAGTACACCAGAAAAAATAATATATAGCATAATATGACGCCCCAGAGGAAAAAAATTCTAGCGATATATCCCCTGAAGGTGAAAGACCCATTCTCTCATCAGTGATGAGAGAAAACGTAGATTTACAATGGTTAACTGTAATAAACACTTGTAGGTCACAGAAAAAGTGTAAAAGAAAGCAAATTTTTCAGGGAAAAAAAAATTCCCCAGGTACCTGGGGTGCCGCGCGCTGCGGCCTATATCTCGGAAGTAAGTTATTTACCTATTTATGGCCACTCCATCATTATTTATGAATGAATTGACTTGATTTTCACAAAAAAAAAAAAAAACATAGAAGAATGATTGCTTTACTTCATTCTAAGTACCTTTGTGAAGTATCCCAAATATTTTTAGATTTGTGTGGGCAACAAGACCGACATCTTCCAAAATGTCAAAAAATTTATGAAACTATTTTTTTTAGCATGAAGATAAGGTTCATTTTAAAAAGGTACTTGGAACCTAATGGAATTAGAAGTGTTCTATCAGCAGCAAGTGTCAAAACCACTTTTCCAAGTACCACTGAGTCAGACCCGACTGCCAAATGTAATTTTTCGTAAATTTTGCATATTTCATTTTCTTTTTGGCCGATATGTTTGAAACTTCAGCACAGCATACTCGATATAAGCTTCTAATGGATTTTCTAAACAGAAAATAAAATTACAATTATTAAAATAAGGCATTTAAGGAATGAACAAATTTAGGTCTTAGTTGAACTGAGACAAAACGGCAGCAGGTGACATATATTAAGGGATAAAAAATTACATTTACTTGTAAGTCGTGCATAATATGGTCTTTCTGCATAGATTACATTTTGGACAATCCTGGAACATTATCATGTACCATACTTGTGTGCTAGCTCGTTTCTTTGCAATCTGTAATTAATTATCCAAGAGAGACATATAAACACGAGTAAAACAGAAAAGTTTAGGGAAGAGTTAACAGCAAAAAATGCCTTACCAACAAGAATAATAGGTGCATCTGGACAATGGTGCTTAATTTCTGGATACCACTTAGAGGTGACGTTCTCACAGGAGGACGGACTCACCACACTAAAGCAGATCAAGAACACATCCGTCTGTAGTTCCAAAAAATAAAATACATAAATTATCATACATCATTTTTATTAATTTTTAGATGTAATACAAAAACAAATAAAACAACTTTTGAATGCTTACTCAAAACCCATGATATACCCACAAACAATTAAGCAAGAGCTTTCAACTTTGCAGCCAGATTTCTATATTGATTGCCCATCAATTAGAATGTTGATGACAGTAACTTGTAGGCCTATATAGTTATCACAATTGTGATCTAGCACTCATAGCAGATAGTGATCCAGTTTCTGCTAGAAAACTCTTCTTTGTTTCAGGCAAGGCATAATGAAGAAAAAACTGGTTTGAGTACTGTCGTATATTAGCATTAGCTACCCCTTTCACCAGCTTATCTCCCTCTGTTATTCTGCTAAACACACTGGCCAACAATGGCTTTAGTTCATGTATAAAAACAAGTGTTTCTAACTACAGTGGAACCTCAAATATTGAACTGCTCCCAACTTGACCAATTATGTAAGTGTATTTTTGTAAGTGCTTTTATAAGTGTATTTTTGAGGGTCTGAAATGAACTAACCTAATTTACATTATTCCTGATGGGAATAAATTTGTTCGGTAACGGCACTCAAACAGCCGTCTGGAACGAAGAATGTTCGATATCTGAGGTTCCACGGTAATTATGAGATGCTGAATTCATATATGAACTTTAGTTTTGCTCCAACATGTACAGTTTCTGTGAAATGGTTCCCCACGGTGAATGATGTCACTAAGACAGTCTTCATACAGAAGAGATACCAGGAAAACATGAAGATCAGTTTGATGGCCGACTACTGCTGTACAATACACTGCTGTACAATGGTGTGGGAGTCATATTGAACACAAGTTTTCAACAGAAAGCATTAAGCCAAAACCTTTTTCAGAAAGTAAATGGACTGAGTATTAGTATGTGGAATAAACCAATAAAAAAAAGTGACAAGTTAAGCTAAAACAATTTTTTTTTGAATGGATGACATAAAAAGAGTTAAGGTAACTGACCTGTGGATACGATAAGGGTCGCAATCTATCATAGTCTTCTTGCCCCGCTGTGTCCCAAAGCCCCAAACTGACAGGAATGCTATCCACCACCATTGGTGCTGAGTAATTGTCAAATCTGAAAACATTCATTAGAGTAATGCTTAATAAAAACTAGGCTACCAAAAGACAGAATGGGTTACAATATTTAAAAATCAAATGATGAGGATATCTGAAAAATACTAAAAAAAAAAAAAGCTTAATTGATCCCAAAAATGACATTCTGGATTGCCATAATTGTGAAAAAAAGACTTATAATTCCTCAAGTGGACCTTAAACATACAGATATGGAATCAGAAGAGATAAGAGTATACTGTACATGTGCATTCCTGTGGCTAGAGCCTCAACATGCACTTGTTTATGAAGCTTCTAGTAGTTCTACTGCATAGACTGTGTCAGTAATTTATTGTACTCTACTGAAAGCAGTGAAGAGTTTTTACGAGGATAGTGAGGCTCAAGTTAGAGTATGTAGGAAAGAGGGAAATTATTTCCCAGTAAAAGTAGGCCTTAGACAAGGATGTGTGATGTCACTGTGGTTGTTTAATATATTTATAGATGGGGTTGTAAGAGAAGTAAATGCGAGGGTCTTGGCAAGAGGCGTGGAGTTAAAAGATAAAGAATCACACAAAGTGGGAGTTGTCACAGTTGCTCTTTGCTGATGACACTGTGCTCTTGGGAGATTCTGAAGAGAAGTTGCAGAGATTGGTGGATGAATTTGGTAGGGTATGCAAAAGAAAAAAATGAAGTGAATACAGGAAAGAGTAAGGTTATGAGGATAACAAAAAAGATTAGGTGATGAAGATTGGATATCAGATTGGAGGGAGAGAGTATGGAGGAGGTGAATGTATTCAGATATTTGGGAGTGGACGTGTCAGCGGATGGGTCTATGAAAGATGAGGTGAATCATAGAATTGATGAGGGGAAAAGGGTGAGTGGTGCACTTAGGAGAGTGTGGAGACAAAGAACTTTGTCCTTGGAGGCAAAGAGGGGAATGTATGAGAGTATAGTTTTACCAACGCTCTTATATGGGTGTGAAGCATGGGTGATGAATGTTGCAGTGAGAAGAAGGCTGGAGGCAGTGGAGATGTCATGTCTGAGGGCAATGTGTGGTGTGAATATAATGCAGAGAATTCGTAGTTTGGAAGTTAGGAGGAGGTACGGGATTACAAAACTGTTGTCCAGAGGGCTGAGGAAGGGTGTATGAGGTGGTTCGGACATGTAGAGAGAATGGAGCAAAACAGAATGACTTCAAGAGTGTATCCGTCTGTAGTGGAAGGAAGGCGGGGTAGGGGTCGGCCTAGGAAAGGTTGGAGGGAGGGGGGGGTAAAGGAGGTTTTGTGTGCGAGGGGCTTGGACTTCCAGCAGGCATGCGTGAGCATGTTTGATAGGAGTGAATGGAGACAAATGGTTTCTAATACTTGACGTGCTGTTGGAGTGTGAGCAAAGTAACATTTATGAAGGGGTTCAGGGAAACCGGCAGGCCGGACTTGAGTCCTGGAGATGGGAAGTACAGTGCCTGCACTCTGAAGGAGGGGTGTTAATGTTGCAGTTTAAAAACTGTAGTGTAAAGCACCCTTCTGGCAAGACAGTGATGGAGTGAATTATGGTGAAAGTTTTTCTTTTTCGGGCCACCCTGCCTTGGTGGGAATCGGCCAGTGTGATAATAAAAAAAATAATACTGTAAATAAGTCAATATATAAGAGAATTCAATCAACCTTTGGTAATACTAATTAATTTATTTTTAATTCCCCAGAGAAGTTTTGGGCTGTCTAAACTGTAAAAAGGATAGGATGCTGGTCCCAGTGCTTTTGGTTTAGAAGTGTTGCACAGTACCTCCTCTTGATACAGTTTTCTGATTTGAAATTTTCATTTTGCTTCCATTCATTCCCATACCTAAATGTGTAACACTATTTATATTAATTGACAGCATGTGATCTTTATAATATTTTTTCCATCATTCATAGACTTCATTACCTATAGACAAGACACATTCATTAATGTTTATGTTTTGAGTTTCTCCCACAATTTCTCCAGAGAAAATTTAAGATAAAAACTCATGACACAGAGCTTGTATGATGCAAGAATTAACAAATAGCCCAGACTTTGGGAAAGAACCTTCCCACGATGTTTAAGTCTGTCCTCTCTTGGACCATTATCTAGCCACAATCAAGCACAAAAATGGGAGAAAAACCAGAAGACAGGTAATTTAAATACCGTAATAATTTTTTGTTGCATGTTATTTTGACCTATAGCTGTGTGCTAGTCAGATGCACCAGAACTTTAAATATACACACTTAATGTGTACACATGAAATTACTACCTACTACACTACACTACACATGAATCTTTACTACAGGATTTCCTTGATGGAAAACATTATGAAGCAAACAGAAAAGTGATATTTGTATACGTATTGAATGTAAGTTGAATTGTGTAAGATTTGCCAACCATCTTTCTTGTCCACAAGAATAAATTTTTTCTGCCAAACTACAAAATGTTTTAACAGGCTTCCATTTCACTTGCTAACATAGGACAGTTGAAGTCATTATGATAGGACAGCACTATTGTCTTGTCATAGAGTGCAAAATGAAAACTTACGAAAACATGGAATGACATATTAACCACTTACACTGTGGGGACGTATTCTTTAGGGAAGGAGTCTGTGGTATAGGATATGAGCATACAGGTCTTGCCCACAGTACCGTCTCCCACAACCACACACTTAATGGGACGGCCAGATGACATCTTCCCTGCTCTCTTTCACACCTGTAAAGAATGGCAGATAGTTACACGGAATCAGGTAGAACCTAATTTTTTTATTTTAATCAAGAAAAAAAGGTAAACCCATAGGGACCATATAACATCTGGGGAATGGGAGACAATCAGGTTCAATCCAATATATTACACATATAATGCATAGCATGTTAGATAGGAATGAGTAGGGACAAATGTTTTTTTTGGGACTTCACAAGCTGTTGGAGTGTGAGCAGGGTAATATTTTGTGAAGGAATTCAGGGAAAATGGTTAGCCAAGCTTGAGTCCTGGAGGTGGGAAGTACAAAGAGCACAGATCCAATTCCCTAAATCAAGAGCCCCTCTCCAGCATCAAGGAACCTCTCTTGAGGGGCAAAACTTGTGAAATAATCTGTGTTTGTGTTCAAGAGCTGCATCTATCTCCAAAACACCCAACACACTTCATAGGAGACTATTCTTGTATAGCTAACATTCATGTACCTATTAATGTTAGCTGAGCCTCTCTTTAATGTTAATGTAAACAGCTCAGTTTACCTTATTACTAGTATATTTCCTTCTATGGTAACTGATTTTAACACAGTTGATTTACTTAGCTGTTTTAACTTTAAAAGTTTAAATAAGATATTACAAGGACTCCAATGGAAATAAGTCAATGACTTTTTGGGAGTTATCCTAGGTAATTTACACTATTATAATTGTACCTATGTGTGCCTGTGCCTAAATAAACTTACACAATCTCTGTATAATGAGTGATGATTAATGAAATGTGCAATAACATTGAAATATGATTAACACTGGAGTAACCTGTGTGTCTGTTCAAGCATTGTATCCATCATCTCCCTCACACCCAACACACTTAACAGGAAACAATTCCCCAATAATAACTTCCTCACAAAAGTTTATCCTGAGAGTATAACAAGAACCCAATGGAAATACGTCGTTTTGTTTATTGGGTTATCTTAGGTAATTTACATCATGTATGATAATTGCACATGTACGTAAATAACCTCATTTACACCACATGTACAAGAACCCCAATGGAAGCAAGTCATTTTTAGGTTATCCTAGGTAATGAACACATATGTTACCATGTATGATAGTTTGTGTAACTGTATTCATGTGTACCTGTACTTAAATAAACTTAATTTACTTAACCACATGTAAACTGTTACCACTGGCAGGACAGCCTAATACCATCTCACCTACAATATCTACTAAATAGATATAACTAAGGATAACCCAACAAAGGCGGTGTACTGCGTCCACCATATATCCCAGGCTGAAAACGCCAGGTTAAATAAGTCTCTCCTATATTTGCAGAGGGGGAAAAAAAAAAAAAAAGGGCTGGGCCACTATGACTGTAAACAAACAGGTCCACCCACCCACACCTCCACCCTCACTACTGTACCCCTTGACCCACCCATCTTCCACCCCACACACGCCCACGCCCTCACCCACACCCACATGGAGGCACTCAGGAGAGACAAACAGCAGAGAAACGCTACCATTTACCCAGAAAAAACCAACCAGACACTCAACAATCCTCCATCCTCGTCCTCTCAAGAACATTCCACTCGGTTCTCATCCCAAAAATAAACACAGTAGAGGGGAAAAATTACATGTGTTGCTTTATTTCACCAATAATAATTGCTAAATCGTTTTTTACAACATAGAGGAGGATATTGCTATATATTTAAGAATAATTTGTGTTTATGTGAAGTTTAGCAGTCAGGTGAGCCAAACCACAAGTGATAAGGTTCCTCAAGATTATTAGGATAATACAAATTACATGGATATTTTTATTCATCGTGCAAATATCTTCGGCATTAATCTTGGCCATAAAACAGAGCATGATATAATAAAGGATCAATAAATAATAACTATATGTCATTTCTATCTAAGACAATAACATATATATCCATATATTGAAGCTAATAAAATTTCTAAGTTAGATTCCGGAATAAAAGCATAAAAAAGTAAAAAAATATAGTATATTTAGTGTCTGTAAAATACTAACACGGTTATTGGTAACGAGGTTATGAGTTTATGATAAAGAACTATATATTTATTTATGGAAATCTTATCCTGGATACTGGATGGGACAACAGTATGGTGGCCAGTGAGCTCAGACAGACGACGGAGATTGTGTCTCTATGACTGACATATTAAGGTGATAACAACCTATAAACTTGCTTTTATACCGTTCTTTGTAGTTTACCAATCTGTCCTCCTGGCTAGTAAGTGGGAAGAAAGATGAAATTAGTGAAAATGCAAGATGTAATGGGATGGACGAGTTTTGACCAACGCACACACTGGGAAGGGCTCTTCTTCACTTCGCTTTCTTTTTGTTATTTAATACATATAATGGTGTAACTGTGGTATAAACATACTACTAGTATTCAGATACTTACAATGAACTAAAATGAATATCCAGCCACTACCTTAGTTGGCACCGATAGACTTAGCAGTTTAACTACCCCATACTTCCGACATCCTTATGTAGGCAGGGACGGCAGGTAACATTTTATTTCAATATATATATCATCAAATAAAGAAAGGGAGAACCACCACAAAGATAAACATGTCTACCGGCTACCAGAACAAAAGCAGCGTGTCATAGTTAACATCAACATAGCCTCCACTATGGTAAACACAGCTTCAGCCACCACTACCCTAAACAGAGCTACACCACCAGTGAACCAACAATTAAGTGACTTTTTTAAGCATTCATCTACCCCGGACTTCTTCCTGTTTGATGAGCAGGATATACAAGCAACTAGAATGCAAGATATTGAAAACTGCTCAAAATTCCAGGAAGAATTGCTAACCGTGCAGACATTACGAATGACTGAACTTCAAAAATTGCAATGATCCAATCAGCCTTGCTAAGTCACATACAGGAGAAGCTGCCCAAACAATAAGAAAATAGACCCACTCACTGGGTGAATCAAAACCCAGTAAATTAGGACTTAATATCCAGGTTGAATAACAAAATCTAGTGGGGTCTGCAGTTGTGAAATGTGCCATTCCAACCCCTTGACACACAAGGTGAGAACTGTCAAAATGACAGTGAGCAGTATATAAAAAAAAATTCAATGTAACATGAAGAAACAAAACACTAAAAGTGTACATAGGTTTAGAAAGCATAATGCAGGTGGAGCACAACCATTATTGCATAAGTTTAGTGACAACACTATGAAAGATAACCTAATAAAATCTGCAATATATCAGAGGAAAGTCATCAATATCAGTGAATGTCTTACAGTTGCAACAAATAGGACAACCAAACAATGAAGTACCTCTGTTTGTCAGCAGAAATGTAGTTGCAGGATCCTTGATGCAGATCACCACATTTACCTTCAATTGCACTATTATCATCATTGTTTTTTACAATCTTGAAGCTTATAAAAAAATCTGATTGGCTTTTTTGGGGGATTATAATGAACATAACCTTATTTTCCCCTATGTTCCTCAGTTCAGTTTGCACAGTTTTTTATTACTCTTTTCAGGAACATAAGTACTGTGTCATCTGATGGTCTTCTGTACTTTAGTATTCACCATTAAAAATGTTATAACAGATTGTTATAAAATATCCTGTTATGCCATCCATTATAAACCAGATTGTTATATTTAGTATTAAAATTGCAAAGTATAGCATGCTAGCAGACCAGCTTAATTAGTTGTTCATTAGTTTTAGGTTAATTTGAAAGCAGCCTGAAATGCTCTTCATAACCAGGGGCTTTCTATAATGTATGCCAATAATGTCAACTGATCTTATATCAATTGTATACTGTACTTGTTAGAAATAAAATTATCATTATCATTACCATACTATTCCATGGGTCTTTGTTTATATCCATTTCATCGTTTTTTATGTTCATGGTGATTGGCCAGGCCTCAGTGTTAAGCGTTATTATATGTTATTTGTATACAAAACTGAGAAGTACATTACATGAGAATCTTTGTAGAGACATATTATCAATCATATATAGGGAATAATATTGGAGATTGTGGAAGATGTGAAGTAGTAGTTGATCAGTCCTTCAACCTTGACAGAAGGTGTTCACTTCCTCACTTGTGGTGGGTCTAAAGTAGATGCCCAAAATTGGAGACTTATGCATTTAAGGCAGGGAAGATGAGACAGTGTAGAAATGGTGGTATGAGTGGACAGGGTGCACTACTGGAAGTCAGTCATGTCAGTAGGTCAGGCAGGTTTAAGAGTTGTAGAATTCTGTGTACCATAATTTCATCATTTACAATATTATTCTATTTACTGGACTGAGAAAGCCACTGGTTGGTATAGTATAAATACCCAGGTGTTTCACATGTACGTATCTTGTTCATTCTCAAAATGTTGATTGACTCTTGACCTGCCTTTACTTATGTCTTCATTTATGCCTATCATCTACTAATATTCTTCATTTATATCTTCCCTCATTTTGTCATTCTAAAGAGTAAGGTAAGAGATGGTATCAGATACTAACAGGTGTGAAATAAAATACATGTGTAGTACTGTACTAGGGTATCTGTTGAAGAGAAGTATCACTTCTCGAGTAAAACATTTCCCAGTAAATTTCCTAGTACTCTACTATATTTATGTCTTGCAGCAGCACATTCTCACTGATGTCCTAACTGAATGTACCACCTTTGATGCTGACTCAGATTTTCTTTTTTTTAACTGAAACTGTCCTATTGCACCAACTTTGATTTAAATTTTTCTCTTTCATTTTTCTCTACCTCCACTAACCCCTAACCTCACACATCCTTATTCCTCACTCGCTCCTATCCTTCACATATTCCTACTTTTGAATATTCCTTCCCTGTAGTGCTCTGTGACTCTCATGGGTTTAGCACTTAACTTGATTATAATAATAATATATGTCTTATTTCATTTCAAGAAAGTGTAGGTTTAGGGCTCTCAATCCATCTTTGTATGAAAGATTTCTTATACACTGGATTAATTTTGTCATTCTTTTCTGTGTTTCATCCAGTGCATTTATATCCATTCAGTAGTATGGAGACCAGAACTGCACTTCATAATCCAAATGAAACCTTATCATATCTTGTATCTTATCTCACTTCAGTGACTCATGGCAGTTTGTTCTACTCATCTACAACTCTATTGCCCTTGAGTTAGTTTTGTTTATTAGTGTTAGGATATATGTACTGGCTTCATGTTGGTCATTAAGGCTGTAATTCACCTACACACCAATATCAAGAATACATTATTACCTGAAATAGGAATTAATGTGTAAATATACTTGTAAATAGTGTAGTGATATTGACAAGATGTGGATAAAGACACATTTTGATATGTGTGGCTTCTCCAGTCCTGATACAGAGACCACTGAGAAAGGAGCATGTATGGTAGCAGGGTCCAAGTGACATGAAGCGTAGAAGAGCTATGAGTAGTGAGTATCACATGATGGCTGTCTCCAATATGGGCAACATCCTGTTTGTTAAGACTGTATTGTTTTGGATTTCTGTAGTATTGTGTTAGTGACAGAAATTAAGGTGACCACTATACATTTTCATCTGCACAGATCATTTTCACAAATGACTAAATTGGCTGCATTTCATCTCAAAAGGTGTCGTCAATCATTTGTGTTGGATACAGGTGTTGCTATGGTTGTGATGGCTTGTCTTCATGAACCTTAAGCTCCTAAGATTCTGCTGTGTTACCTGTATATTTCTTCTCACAACCCCACATGGTATTATGTATACTCCTAAACTAGTTACAAAGTCACTCTTATGCTTAGGCTCTTAATGGATTCTTGAGGAGCTAGTAGCTTTTTTACAAGCTGATTGTCAAGCTGGTCAGCAACTAACACATTGAACCCATTTGACAGTGTTCAGTCCATCAGTCTCAGGTCTTTGAGATTGGTGGGGTGAGCTTCTCTTTTCAAGGCTGAGTGACTGATCACCTCAGACTACTACTATACATCTACTGTCTCCAGTATTATTCTCTGTTGTATTGATAAAGCCATTGGGTGACAACATATCTCCACAGGAAAGATTCCCAAGTGCTCCTCTTACAGGTTTTTTATAGTATCATTATATAAACATTGCTTAATTTTGTAGCCTGGGCAATCACAATAAACATAAGCAAAGATGATGTGTATGTAAACAGGATTTAAAGAAAGATCCATGGAAAATATATGATAAGTTGTGCATTTAATGCATGTTGGTCACACCACCTACTGTATAGATACCATGTATGGTTGAGGCAGGGTTCTAAATGGGTAAGCTTGTGTCTCCCTCCCGTTAGCTTTTGGTGATGTTTTTCTTCTTAAAAGCCCTTGTCCTGTTGAATCTTTTAATAGTTATCAACAGATTGCAAGATATTCACTGACAAGGCTGATAAGATAAGTAGCACTTACATGTTATTCACTTAGTTGTGTAGTTAACCCCACTGCAAAGTGATATTAGCTGTATGTAGTAATTATTTATTTAGGCTTGTAAGTAACATCAGTATAGTGAAATTTCCTGCAGACTAAATTTAGTACCCTGTACTTACTTACTTAATTCTAATACAGGTACTGTATTTAGATAAGTATTATAACATGTAATTTAAGTTTTGTGCAACAATTCAACATGTATAATTTTTTTTTTAAACACATTAGCCATCTCCCACTGAGGCAGGATAATTTGTGTAGTACTGTATATAATAAAATGGATTAGATTACAATGAGAGTAATACTGGAAGGTTTAGTGTACATGATAATTGTTTGTAATAGGATGTCATTTCTTTTATAGCATGGTCTTGTGAGCCACAAAGGTCATAAAATAGTCTTAGAATATATAATTTTTCGTCATTTTGACTTAATTTACTAATAAATGTATTGAAAATTAAATTAATACACTATATACACTGCACGTTGTTGTGATATTTTTTAACCTCTTTGCCATTATTTTGCAGTGTACGATGGTAGCAACGTATGGGTGGAGGGGAGGGGACCCCAGGAACATGCTCATCGTGCCTACTGAGACGGTCATTAGGGTTGCCGCATCCCAAGAAACAACAGTCTTTGTTACAGCCGGTGGCAGATTATATATTGGCCAGTACAATGGTCAAGAGAGGGGCAGTTTGAAACAGGTGTGTGCTGGCTTCGTTTATGCTCAGGATGATTTTCCGGTTCTTAAGAATATGCTCTTACTGTGCAATGAATATGTTGTCTGTTTATGACATTGGTGAGTACAGTACTGTAAATGCTTGATTGATATTGATTTTTATCATTTCATTTGAATTCTCTTTCTTGTTGACTAGCTCCCTTGTTCTCTAAACACTGTAATGATTTTTTATTATAGGATTTTAGTTTTGGAAATATGGGACAAAAATCTGCTAGTCAATTGATTTCAAAACAACTAAGTAAATGTATTTTGTTTACAGAATCCCCATTATTGTTACGATCACAGCCAAACAACCTCATCTTTATCCACTACAGTCATCATTAATGGCTACCTGCTCTCCCCTATTAATATGTTAAACCTAGGGTTCACTATATTATGAATGCAAGCTGATATAATACTATACTGTACTCTGAATTTTTTTCTAGATTGAGCTTGGAAGTAGATGTGTTCGTGATGCAACAGTGTACAGAGGCCAAGTGGTGTTTGTCACTGATGCTGGGGAAGTATTTACTCGGGACTTGAAAGGAGGTGATGTTCGCCCTTTGCCTGTGCTGGAACCAAAAAAGACCTGTACTCATGGCCAGGAGGAAAAGGGGCGGAAGGTTCGCGTTCGGGCAGTGGCAGCTGGCTATGATCACATATTGTTCCTGAGTGCTCAAGATGAAATTTGGGTTCAAGGACGGGGACCAGCCCTAGGTCTGTTGATCTGTTTAATACTGAAAATTATAACTGGCAAGCACATTGAATTTTGTAGGTAGGCCAATTGAATAATGCAGGAAAGATGAGAAAATGGAGCAGTAACTGTTGAAACATTTTTACACCTGGAAAGAGTAGTTCTTGTTGAGTACTATATTCTTATTTAGATTCTTTAGCAAACAAAAGGTAATCAGAATAGATAAGGTATTAATCTTATAACTGAAAAGGCCTCACATGGATTTTATTTGGTTTGTTACTAGTTATCTCATCTGTATTTCACAGAGCTTAAGTAATTTGTATAATATTTCTGGACAATATTATATTTTCTCCTCTTGAATATTGCTCATGGAGTTTTTTCTTGTTGATGTATTTTCCCTCCTTTTTTTAAGCATTTTTGGTGTTGGTGATTTGAATTGGTGTTTTTATTTAAAAATGAGGCACTTCATTACATATAAAATAACTGTATTGTATCAAATACTGTATGATTTCTCTGATGCTTTACTGTGTGTTTGACTGTTGTTTTACTTTAACAGGACTCTTCACAAACAAAACTGAAAATGAAATTACAAACCCAGCCCGTGTTGATTTCTTCAAAGGAAGAAGGGTAATGCAAATTGAAGCTGGAGCTTACTTTACTGTGGCTCTTGTGGAAGCTTTGCCCCCTGTTCACCACGATCCAGCTGCTGAGTCGGACACTCTTCCAGACTTCGACTCCTATGTTAGATCATGTGAGCAGTGCCGCCGAGAGACCGGTGATCGTGTTCTCTTTGAAGATGCAGATGAATTTGACAAGTGCCCTTTAGGATTGGCTGTGAGGAAGGAATATTTTACCCCAGACCGGAGATCTGATCTTCTGTCGCCTGCTCCAAGTAGTGTAAACATGGATGGTAGATCGTCACGAAACAGTGTGTTCCATGAAGATGGTGAATCTTCAGATTACGTTGCAGATGAATTAGATCCAACCTCAGGAGAAGTTTCTTGTGATGGCACGTCATTAAATACTCCAGTTGAATTACGGACAGGAATTGAATTAAAAGATATGGCTCGAACACATAGACAGAGTGTGGGAAGTGATTTTGAAGTTGTTGAGTGCACTGATGATGAGACAGAAATGGGAGGAGAAACTAGGAGGAGGAAATCAAGTTTAGCAGGTAGTAGTAGCCTATTTCTAAATGCAGATGCTGCCCGACAGTTTATATCTAGACAGCTGTCATGGATGACAACAACGAGTGTGGAACAAGGCGAATGTATCATGGAAAACGAGAAAATTAATAACAAATACCACATAGACAGTGCTACTGAGCTTATTAAGGAAAATGTAGCTAGTGCAGCAAACAGTGCTGCAAGTCTTGTAGCTACTGGTGTTCGAACTGTCAGTGATAAAGTGGGCCAGTTGTCACGTCATTTCAGTAGTAGTGAATGTGCAGATGGTGAACTGCATGATCTGACACCAGACTCTGATCCTTTCAGTTTAGATGCATTTTATGCTAAGACTCCCAAAACAAAAATGAGTAAAAGTGATTCCTATGAGTGCAATAGTCTTCCACGTCGACTTTCCGACGAATTGTGTCGTAAAAAAACACACATGCGAACAGCATCTGGGGGTTTGAGCTTTCCAAAAGTAGGCAAAGATGGTGTATTAACTCTTGAGAAAAGGCCAGAGCAAGTGGCAAAAAACACTGTTCTTATCATAGATGGGGGACGTCATATTTTAAACACTGAGGTAAGTGCTATGCAGTAAGTTTTGTATGATGACCCAACTTACTATGATTTGCATTTAAAATTAGGGTACTTTGGAACCTGTAGGGAATTAATGCTTATTACCAGACATCTAGGTGAGTACAAATAGGAAACTCATCTGTCTTGCACTCAGCATACAGAGGATCAAGCTTCCACCACATCTTGCACTGAATGACCCATGTAGGTTTAGCACTTAATATGAATTATTTATTTAATGCTTATTACAAAATAAAGAATTAAATTACAGAGGACATTCATGAAGGCGCTTCCCTTCTCCCATTATTCCCCTTACACGTGCCCCAGCAAGGACCCTTACTTCCCCAAGTCTTAGAGCCTCGGTTCGTGTACTATCATGTACTGACATAACTATTATACAAATACTGTACTATATGATCATATACAGTATATTACTTGGTTTTCTCAAAACATCAATAATTCAAAAATTTAAAGATGTAAACTGAAATAAGACGAATAAGCGAGGTTTCATTATGAGGACACTTAAATATATGTGTATACGTAATCACATTTGTAAATCTTGTAAATTACAATACTATAATTGTAAGTCTCATTTGCTACTACTGTATATTACTTTTTTCCTTAGAGTATGTGATGCAATAATAGCATTGTTCCAGTTTACCGTTTTTTTTTATTGTTGTCATTCTCACTCAGTTTTTTTTTTTGTATGCTGTCGAGCTGTATAGCCCTTGTGGCTTAGCGCTTCTTTTTGATTATAATAATAATGTATGCTGTCGATAAGCTGAAATCACTTGTTTCTTGCCATGGTACTTTCTTTTTTTTTCTGCTAGTAATGATATAATGTTTCCTTATAATAAATTTTTTTTGCATGGAGTAATAGTGTTTTCTTGTTACTGCTATGAATACACTGCTGAATTAGATCTTTTCTGTATTTGTTTGTAGGTCACCATTGATATTTTGCAATATTTTTTTTTCATTATCTTTAAATATAAATTAAGTGGCATTTTCCATCACATTTTTTGCTTCATGCAAGTTTTTGTCAGGATATATTTGACACTAAAATTTTAATACATGTAATAGCCCTGCTTCTGTAGCTGTAAATTGGTAATTAAACTGTATAATATGCTGACTAGATCACTGAAGACATCCCTGTGTAGCACTGGTATTAACTGTCACAGTGAGATAAATTGGTATTCATGGTCAAAGTTTCTGGACCCTGTCATGGGGTTATTGTATAATGGCAATATTGTAAGTTTAATTTCTTAAATGTATAAGCCTGTAAATCATATTTTGATAGTGTGCCCTCCCAATTACACTGTCATGTGTTAGTTAACAAGAAATTGCCTTTGTCAGGCTCTTACAAAGACAATAGATAGGCTCTTGAGACACCTAGCCACCATTCTGCTGTCCTTGTTTAACCCATAGGATGGTAAAATATAGATTGCCTGTAACAGAGATATATGAATGTTTATTTTTTTGTTATGAAATCTACATTTACTGTTAATTTATTAACAGGTTTGGGCATGGGGTTCAGCTAATAAGGGTCAACTTGGCCTTGGTGATCTGAGCCACAGGTCAACCCCAACCAGTGTGGTAACCCTGAATCACATGGGGGTCACTAAGTTAGTTTGTGGCTCCCATCACACAGCTGCTCTCACCATTGATGGACAGGTCAGTTTACCTTGTGGTAGATATTTTATTGCTCTTATGCTTCATGCATAATAATTTTCATAAAATTGTAAGTTATTTATGGGATGGAGTTCATAAGGAAGGTAATGGTAATCTCTGGACATTTTCTGCTACAATACTTATGATTTATTTATGAAATATTAAATTGGGCTGGAACAAATATGATCTGGTAGGAGTAAGAAAGAGCTAGAGGTGAGTGTAGTGCATCAACCTTAATTGATAGAATGAAAGCAACTTTGTCAGGCAGGATTAAGACCAAGATGATAAAATGAAGAGGGGATTCAGTTTTGAAATAGTTGGTGTATTTGTTCTGTACTGTATATGTATGAAAGAAGGGAAGGTACCCAAGGATTGACAGCATAATTCCTTTGTATAATAGAAAAGGAGACTAATAAGAATGCAAGAATTATAGGAATTATATGTGTAGATCAAGTGTTTACATCGAAGCATACGAGTAAGCATAGGAGGAGCAATTTCATAGTGTATACTGTACCTCAACCACTCCATCCCTTCACCAGAGAGAGGTCCATTATTTAGTGGTATTATACTCTGAATTTTACAAGTGCATAACACAAGAAACTGAAAATATTTTGAGAAGTATCACATGTTTTTGTTGTTACAGGTCCACATCCCTGTATCCAAAATTCTGAAATTTGAAAAGTTCCGAAAACTGAAGTTTTTTCATGGAGTGTGGAGCATCAGTCATCTCCATGCTGGGTCAGGCCACCATATGGCGGTGTTGAGAATCATTCTGAAATTTGAAAAAATACAGGCCCCAAGGGTTTTGGATAAAGGGATGTGCACCTCTATAGGGTTGAAGGGTTCTGATGGCTCCTAGTGCAATGATTGTCGAGTTAAGAGTTTGCAGTGGCTCTTAGGCCCTCCCAACAATGCATGCATAGTTCATTCAGATAAGCAGTTACACTTTATGGCATGACAAGCCACCAATTTTGTCATAACGAAATGGACAGGGCCAAAAGATGTATGGAAACTGCTTTAATTGGTACCAGAACAGACCCAGAACCATGGCACACACTATACAAATACAAATACATTGGCTCACATCATACTTCAAAGACATTCCTGACATTAGGGTTAGAGAAAAAAATGCTGGCCAGAAACCAGATGAGAGTTTAACAACAATGTCTTGAATACCTTTCAGTGTTCTGCCAACCTAAGATTTGTCACTACACTGACTTTATTCTTTCTTTACTCCCAAGAGTATATACTATATGCTTGCATTTTGTACCCTTTGTATGACTTGACTAATACCTTAATAGACTGAAATGTTGTCTTAATGAAAGTTTATCTAAAGTGTGTTTTTACTGTTAAAGATGTTATTTATGAACATCTTAAGAGTCTCTGCTATTTCACCTAATATTCTTTGATCAGACTTCATTTTACAGTGTTTTGATGGTAAAAGCATATAACTGATTTTAAATGTTAAATATATGTAAGGGGTAAGGGAGGTTTTGTGGGCGAGGGGCTTGGACTTCCAGCAGGTGTACGTGAGCGTGTTTGATAGGAGTGAATGGAGACGAATGGTATTTGGGACCTGACGATCTGTTGGAGTGTGAGCAGGGTAATATTTAGTGAAGGGATTCAAGGAAACGGGTTATCTTTATATAGCCGGACTTGAGTCCTGGAAATGGGAAGTACAATGCCTGCACTCTAAAGGAGGGGTTCGTGATATTAGCAGTTTGGAGGGATATGTTGCGTATCTTTATAGGTATATGCTTATAAGCTGTTGTGTTCTGAGCACCTCTGCAAAAACAGTGATTATGTGTGAGTGAGGTGAAAGTATTGAATGATGATGAAAGTACAGTGGACCCCCGGTTAACGATATTTTTTCACTCCAGAAGTATATTCAGGTGCCAGTACTGACCGAATTTGTTCCCATAAGGAATATTGTGAAGTAGATTAGTCCATTTCAGAGCCCCGAACATACACGTACAAACGCACTTACATAAATACACTTACATAATTGGTCGCATTCGGAGGTGATCGTTATGCGGGGGTCCACTGTATTTTCTTTTTTGGGATTTTGTTTCTTTTTTGGGTCACCCTGCCTTGGTGGGAGACGGCCGACTTGTTGAAAAAAAAAAAATGCGTAACACACATTACTTATCTTAAAATATTTTTGTCCTTAGCATATAATGAGTGGTGACTATATTTATCGTAGGAAGTGTGAATAAAGAATGGGTATAATTAAAAATGCTGTATAGTGAAACTGTAAATTGGATTACTGTAAAGTGAGGCCCACCTGTATGCTGTAGTCACACACACATTATGACTGTAGGACATTTTCTTAATAGCCAGTTTGATATTTTCTTCTTTGATTTACTGTTTAGTCTCTAAGGATTAGATGTGGTTTTATTTCAATACTGTTACTTATCTTGCTTTATTTTCTAGGTTTATATATGGGAACCAAAAGATACTAGTGATGAAGTTGATCATGCAACAATGGAGCCTAAGTCACTTAAGTCTTCATATTGGAAGGTGTCTTTGTTTTGTTAAGCTATTAGATTGTGGAGTATAATCTTTGACAGAGATGCTTAATACAAGACAGTTCTAAACCATGTATCAGATATTTGAGTCACCTAAAGATGAGCTTTGCTATTCTTTTGTTTCTTAACTTAACTTTAGGACTAAATACTTAAAAAGTAAAACTTGAAGAGATGTTGCGTAGGTTGTGGGCGACCAACATTGATATCCTTACATTGAACCTGGCATTTTCATAACGTGTCTCTCAGCACCCTATGTTTTCTTCATGATATATCTAGAAGCATTTTTAATGTAAAGTCTCTGTGGATCATTGCACAGGATAGCTGAAATGAAGACTTAACCTATGCCTTTCCTAACCCTTGGTGTGGCTGTTAATGAGTGCATCACTCAATATATCAAGGTTAAGCACCTAGCAGTATAGTCAGGTAAATACACTCTTGTCTCCCTTTCTGGAGAATGATGGTTCTGGCCTCAAAGAGGCAAAAAGAAAAATTATTACTAAATGTAAAATGAAGAACTTTCCTTTTTCTCTTTCGGTCACTCTGCTTCTGTGGGGGATGGCTGGTATGCTAAAAAAAAAAAAGTTTAGCCAGTAATTATGTGGGTGGCTTTGTGGGCACAGCCTCACTCTTGGTTTAGGGGACATTGATGAGCCAAAAGCTTGCTGTCTCCAGCATTAGTATGGTATATACTGTACCACTGTTGTGGTCTCCAGCATTAGTATGGTATATACTGTATAATTGTTGTGCCAGCTCATAACCCAAGTATTCATCTGAAACTGGTGTTGCAATACAGTACGTCTTGTATGCCCGTAAATTATTTGTTTCATACATAATATTGTATAAAGCTCTAATTTGTTTTTTATACATTTTGTGAGGGCATTCAATTTGGTATATGAATTCTGTCCTTTACTAATAAAAATTTGATACTGGATTTAGGACTGCCTACATTGTTATTCCAAGTAATGCAAATGTGTCTGTCTAAAGCTAGTATCATGTCAAAAGTCAAGTGTAAGGTTTCCTGCATGTTACATGGGCTTTCAGAGGTAATTGTAAGTAAATTGTGCTATTAATACCAATTTTCTTGATTATTGCTAATTGAAGGTAGAATTACATAATGACTCACAGTTGTTACTGCTTGTCGAACTTTAGAATTTTATCTGTTTTACTCATCACTACATAATGAGTCTGTGTTGTGGATTTAGGTTATTGAAATTACTTAAAAAAATTTTTATTAAGTAATGATGAACCCATCCTCATACATTGTGTTCACTGCTAATGGAATTCCCATTAGATGTGATTCGAATGCTTCGTATTTCTGCAAACTCACCCAGCCTTGTGCTTATCTAACACACACACACACACACAAGTACTTTCACCCTCAGCATGATATGTTAGTACTGAAATATTGGTAAAAAATAATATACACCTTTATAATTTTAATATAGTCATTCATTTTACATAGGAGAGAGAGAGACTTTTTTCCAATATGTAATGTCACCATGGTTGTTTAACATATTTATGGAGGGGGTTGTAAAAGAAGTGAATGCTTCAGTGTTGGGGAGAGGTGTTGGATTAAATGATAGTGAATCTGATGCAAAGTGGGAGTTGTAATAGTTGCTCTTTGACATTAACAGTTTTCAGGAGATTCTGAAGGAAAGCTGCAATGATTGGTTGATGTATTTAGGGAGGAGATGTATTAGAAGGAAATTAAACAGAACCTAACAAGGAGCATGGTGATGAAAGTAACAAAAAAGTCTAGGTAATGAAAGATTGGATAATTTTAGGTTAGGAGGAAGGGGGGGTACAAGAGGTTTTGTGTGCGAGGGGTTTGGACATTCAGCAACCATATGTGAGTGTGTTAGAGAGGAGTGAGTGGAGGAAAGTGGTTTTTATGACTTGACATGCTGTTAGAGTGTTAGGAAGGTAACATTTATGAAGGGACTTGGGGAAACTGGTTAGTCAGACTTGTGTCTTGGAGGTGGGAAGTACAAGCCTGCACTCTGAAGGAGGGGTGAGGATATTTGCAGTTTTAAACAATAGTATCAGCACGCCTCTGGCAAGACAGTGATGGAGTAAGTAATAGCATCAGTGTTTCTTCTTTTTTGGACCACCCTGCCTCAATGGGAAACACCCGTTGTGTTAAAAAAGGAGGGGGTATTGCAGAAGTGAGTGGATTTAAATATTTGGGTGTGAACATGTCAGCAGATGGGTCTGTAAAAGATGAGGTGAATCATAGAATAGACAAGCATGAAAAGGTAGGCAGTTTGTTAAGGCATCTTTAAAAAGAAAGATGTTTATCTATGGATTTTAAAAGGGAAAATGTGCCAAAATATACTGGGATCAACACTTTTTTTTATGTATGTGAGGCATGGGTTTTAAACATTGCAGTGAACCAGAGGCTAAAGGACCAGAGATGTCATGCTTGAAAGCAATGTATGATATGAACATTATGCAGAGAATTTGAAGTGTAAAAATTAGGAAGATAGTATGGGGTTACCAGAGGTATAATTTAGAGAGCTGAGGAGGGATGGTTGAGGTGTTTTAGACATTAGATAGGATGAAGTGGAATAGGATGAATAAGATGGTGTATGAATCTGGTATGGAAGGATGGAGGGGTAAGGGTTGTCTCAGAAAGAGAAGGAATGAAAGAGGGTAAAGAAGGTCTTGAGTGCTAAGGGATTGACATCCAGCAGGGTAGTGTGAGCATTTTGAATGGCGTGAGTGAAGACAGGCTTTTACAGCTTGATGTGAGCAAGGTAACAAGACATAACATAAGTCATGTTATCTGCCACTTCTTTCTTTTTTCTCATTTTTTTTCATGATTTGAAATACTGTACATTTGTAATTATATTGGGGCTTTACCACTCTGTTAAAATTCTGCAAGATTTTTTTTTCCATTTACTGTATGACTTTCAATGTTGAATAGAGTTTTTGTTGTTGATTAAAGCCACATTGTTGCTCTGGATATACGTACTTCATTTCATTTCATATTCATTGCATATATGAAAATTTTATAAATTTTGATGTGTTTTATTTGAAATAGACATTTACCAGCACTTGTCACATTCCTGAGGTTTCAGCATCATGATAAAGTCAAATATAATAATGAGAAGTATTCCTCTAGGTGTTTGTGTGGGGGGACAACTCTGCCGGCCAAGGTGGACCTTCGACACCCATTGAAAAGTCTTCATTGCCCAATAAATCTGCAAATAAATCTCCAAGTAAACTTGGGAATGCTTCTTCATCCATTGTCTCTCCCAGACGGCTTGAACTCCCAGATGGAGGTCTGGTTCGAGATCTGGCTTCAGGGGATAACTACCTCATTGTTGTTTCCATTGATGGTCTCACATACTATGTGGGCAAATTAAGGTATGGATTCAGTTTTTGGCTTGCCTTTTAACCATCAAGTAGAATTATTTCTTATTATAATGCAGTATACAGTATCTTCTTACATTATAAGGGTTTCGCTGTAGTTCCGAGATATAATTTTTTGTTTTGTTTTATCTCGGTGGCCATTTGCCAAAGTAAGGCAGTGAAGAAATGGAAGTATTAATTCAAGAAATCATAATAACACAATAGTAAACAAATCACAGAATGGGTGGGGTTTGAACCCATGGCAAGTGTGTTCTGAAACTCAGACCAGTGAGTTTTAGGACTTGCTTGCAATGGGTTTAAGACCCGCCTGTTCTGTGAAAAGGAGGTATTCACCACTAATGCTCTAATAGCTGTCAGTGTCTGTACACCTCTGGCAAAAATAACTGTTGAATAAATGATAGGGAATGTTTCCTTGTTTTTTGGCCATTCTTCTTCTTCTTTCAACGTACCAGCCGTATCCCACCGAGGCGGGGTGGCCCAAAAGGAAAAACCAAAGTTTCTCCTTTTAAATTTAGTAATATATACAGGAGAAGGGGTTACTAGCCGTTGCTCCCGGCATTTCAGTCGCCTCTTACGACACGCATGGCTTATGGAGGAAGAATTCTGTTCCACTTCCCCATGAGATTTTTTGGCCATTGTGATGAATAAAATAGTTAATGTTGTTTGTAGTTCTTTGGTTGAGTACTGCTGCATTTTGGAATAAAAAGGCATTTACATGGCTTGTAAGGCTTTGTATTTACTTATTTGTTTTCAATAGATAAACTGCTTAAATAAGCAATGAGATCAAATTATTCCACATATAAAAGAGGTGGGTAGTACCGTGCTTACATTGTGCAGGAGAGATGTGGAGGTTGCAGTTCAGAGAGTCATTTGGAATGTAATGTTTGCACATTTCTCATAAGATATTGAATGAATGATGGTGAGTTTTTTGTTTTTTGGTTGCCTTACCTTGGTGGGAGATAGATGGTGTTTTAAAAAACTTATGTAATTTAATTGTGGTATGAATATGTTCAAGAATAAAATATCAGATCAAGGGACTTTTCTTAAAGGTTTAGTTTCTCCATAAATATGTTGATTGTTTGATTGTTGGATTAATTTCATTTAATATTTAATTGTAGATGACACAAAGTTTAGTGATACTGAACCTTGGTGTTGATGATGGTGCAGGATGTGTATAAATTCCATTACAACGTATTGACAACATGTTAATACTTATATAGCTATAATGTTTGTTGTTTAGAGAGGAAGAGAAAGCCACAGTGAAACAGATAGCAGTTGGTGATGCCACAACACGCTGCAGATCAGTGTTGTGTCAGTGTGACAGTGTGGTCTGCACATCAGATGAGATGCATCCACAGGTATTTCTATGCAGACAATATATAGTTTTGATTTGACAAATACGTATGAGATAAAGAAGAGTCAGATCTATTTTTTCTATCTGTATTCATATATATGGTGACATTACACACCCCTGTCTAAGACCTACTTTTACCGGGAAGTATTCTCCCTCTCTTCTACACACCCTAACCTGAGCCTCACTATCCTCATAAAAACTCTTTACAGCATTTAATAACTTACCACTTATTCCATATACTTGCAACATCTGCTACATTGCTCCTCTATCCACTTTATCATATGCCTTTTCTAAATCCATAAATGCAATAAAAACTTCCCTACCTTTATCTAAATACTGTTCACATATATGCTTCAATGTAAACACTTGATCTACACATCCCCTACCCACTCTGAAACCTCCTTGCTCATCCGCAATCCTACATTCTGTCTTACCTCTAATTCTTTCAATTATAACCCTACCGTACACTTTTCCTGGTATACTCAGTAAACTTATTCCTCTATAATTTTTACAGTCTCTTTTGTCCCCTTTCCCTTTATATAAAGGGACTATACATGCTCTCCGCCAATCCCTAGGTACCTTCCCCTCTTTCATACATTTATTAAACAAAAGTACCAACCACTCCAACACTATATCCCCCCTGCTTTTAACATTTCTGTCATGATCCCATCAGTTCCAGCTGCTTTACCCCCTTTCATTCTATGTAATGCCTCACGTACCTCCACCACACTTACATTCTGCTCTTCTTCACTCCTAAAAGATGATAAACCTCCCTGACCAGAGCATGAAATTACTGCCTCTCTTTCTTCCTTAACATTTAAAAGTTCCTCAAAATATTCTTGCCATCTACCTAATACCTCCATCTCCCCATCTACTAACTCCCCTACTCTGTTTTTAACTGCCAAATCCATACTTTCCCTAGGCTTTCTTAACTTGTTTAACTCACTCCAAAAATTTTTCTTATTTTCATTAAAATTTCTTGACAGTGCCTCTCCCACTATCATCTGCTCTCCTTTGCACTCTCTCTACCACTCTCTTTACCTTTCTTTTACTCTCCATATACTCTGCTCTTCTTATAACACTTCTGCTTTGTAAAAACCTCTCATAAGCTACCTTTTTCTCTTTTATTACACCCTTTACTTCATCATTCCACCAATCACTCCTCTTTCCACCTGCCCCACCCTCCTATAACCACAAACTTCTGCCCCACATTCTAATACTGCATTTTTAAAACTATTCCAACCCTCTTCAACCCCCCCCCCCCCCCCCCCCCCCACTACTTATCTTTGCACTAGCCCACCTTTCTGCCAATAGTCGCTTATCTCACCCGAACTTCCTCCTCCCTTAGTTTATACACTTTCACCTCCCTCTTACTTGTTGTTGCCACCTTCCTCTTTTCCCATCTACCTCTTACTCTAACTGTAGCTACAACTAAATAATGATCTGATGTATCAGTTGCCCCTCTATAAACATGTACATCCTGGAGCCTACCCATCAACCTTTTATCCACCAATACATAATCTAATAAACTACTTTCATTACGTGCTACATCATACCTTGTATATTTATTTATCCTCTTTTTCATAAAATATGTATTACTTATTAATAAATCTCTTTCTACACATAGCTCAATTAAAGGCTCCCCATTAACATTTACCCCTGGCACCCCAAATTTACCTACTACTCCCTCCATAACATTTTTACCCACTTTAGCATTGAAATCCCCAACCACCATTACTCTCACATTTGATTCAAAACTCCCCATGCATTCACTCAACATTTCCCAAAATCTCTCTCTCTCCTCTACACTTCTCTCTTCTCCAGGTGCATACACGCTTATTATAACCCACTTTTCACATCCAATCTTTATTTTACTCCACATAATCCTTGAATTAATACATTTATAGTCCCTTTTTTCCTGCCATAGCTTATCCTTCAACATTATTGCTACTCTTCTTTAGCTCTAACTATTTGAAACCCCTGACCTAATCCCATTTATTCCTCTCCATTGAAACTCTCCCACCCCCTTCAGCTTTGTTTCACTTAAAGCCAGGACATCCAGTTTCTTCTCGTTCATAACATCCACAATCATCTCTTTCTTATCATTTGCACAACATCTACGCACATTCAGACTTCCCACTTTGACAACTTTCTTCTTCTTATTCTTTTTAGTAATCTTTACAGGAAAAGGGGTTACTAGCCCATTGTTCCCGGCATTTTAGTTGACTTTTACAACACGCATGGCTTACGGAGGAAAGATTCTTATTCCACTTCCCCATGGATATAAAAGGAAAAGTAATAAGACCAAGAACTATTAAGATAAAATCTAAGAAAAATTCAGATGAGTGTGTATAAATAAATGTGTACATGTATGTGTAGTGTGACCTAAGTGTAAGTAGAAGTAGCAAGACATACCTGTAATCTTGCATATTTATGAGACAGACAAAAGACATCAGCAATCCTACCATCATGTAAAACAATTACAGGCTTTCGTTTTACACTCACTTGGCAGGACGGTAGTACCTCCCTGGGTGGTTGCTGTCTATATATATATATATATAATATATATATATATATATATATATATATATATATATTTTTCTTTCTTTTTTTAACGTACCAGCCGTATCCCACTGAGGTGGGGTGGCCCAAAAGAAAAAACTGAAGTTTCTCCTTTTAAATTTAGTAATATACAGGAGAAGGGGTTACTAGCCCCTTGCTCCCGGCATTTTAGTCGCCTCTTACGACACACATGGCTTATAGAGGAAGAATTCTGTTCCACTTCCCCATGGAGATAAGAGGAAATAAACAAGAACAAGAATTAGAAAGAAAATAGAAGAAAACCCAGAGGGGTGTGTATATATATGCTTGTACATGTATGTGTAGTGTGACCTAAGTGTAAGTAGAAGTAGCAAGACTTACCTGTAATCTTGCATATTTATGAGACAGACAAAAGACACCAGCAATCCTACCATCATGTAAAACAATTACAGGCTTTCGTTTTACACTCACTTGGCAGGACGGTAGTACCTCCCTGGGTGGTTGCTGTCTATATATATATATATATAATATATATATATATATATATATATATATATATATATATATATATATATATATATATATATATATATATATATATATATATATCTTTTCTTCTTCTTTCAACACACCGGCCGTATCCCACTGAGGTGGGGTGGCCCAAAAGGAAAAACAAAAGTTTCTCCTTTTACATTTAGTAATATATACAGGAGAAGAGTTACTAGCCCTTGCTCCCGGCATTTTAGTCGCCTCTTACAACACGCATGGCTTACGGAGGAAGAATTCTGTTCCACTTCCCCATGGAGATAAGAGGAAATAAACAAGAATAAGAACTAGAAAGAAAATAGAAGAAAACCCAGAGGGGTGTGTATATATGTGCTTGTACATGTATGTGTAGTGTGACCTAAGTGTAAGTAGAAGTAGCAAGACGTACCTGAAATCTTGCATGTTCATGAGACAGAAAAAAGGACACCAGCAATCCTACCATCATGTAAAACAATTACAGGCTTTCGTTTTACACTCACTTGGCAGGACGGTAGTACCTCCCTGGGTGGTTGCTGTCTATATATATATATATATAATATATATATATATATATATATATATATATATATATATATTATATATATATATTATATATATATATATATATATATATATATATATATATATATAAATATATATATATATATATATATATATATATATATATATATATATTTATTTATTTATTTATTTATTTATTTATTTATATTTTTCACCAAGTCGGCCGTCTCCCACTGAGGCAGGGTGACCCAAAAAGAAAGAAAATCCCCAAAAAGAAAATACTTTCATCATCATTCAAAACTCACCACACTCACACATTATCACTGCTTTTGCAGAGGTGCTCAGAATACAACAGCTTAGAAGCATATACGTATAAAGATACACAACATATCCCTCCAAACTGCCAATATCCCAAACCCCTCCTTTAAAGTGCAGGCATTGTACTTCCCATTTCCAGGACTCAAGTCCGACTATATGAAAAAACCGGTTTCCCTGAATCCCTTCACTAAATATTACCCTGCTCACACTCCAACAGATCGTCAGGTCCCAAGTATCATTTGTCTCCATTCACTCCTATCTAACACGCTCATGCACGCTTGCTGGAAGTCCAAGCCCCTAGCCCACAAAATCTCCTTTACCCCCTCTTTCCAACCCTTTCGAGGACGACCCCTACCCCTCCTTCCTTTCCCTATAGATTTATATGCTTTCCATGTCATTCTACTTTGATCCATTCTCTCTAAATGACCAAACCACCTCAACAACCCCTCTTCTGCCCTCTGACTAATACTTTTATTAACTCCACACCTTCTCCTAATTTCCACACTCCGAATTTTCTGCATAATATTTACACCACACATTGCTCTTAGACAGGACATCTCCACTGCCTCCAACCGTCTCCTCGCTGCTGCATTTACCACCCAAGCTTCACATCCATATAAGAGTGTTGGTACTACTATACTTTCATACATTCCCTTCTTTGCCTCCATAGATAACGTTTTTTGACTCCACATATACCTCAACGCACCACTCACCTTTTTTCCCTCATCAATTCTATGATTAACCTCATCCTTCATAAATCCATCCGCCGACACGTCAACTCCCAAGTATCTGAAAACATTCACTTCTTCCATACTCCTCCTCCCCAATTTGATATCCAAATTTTCTTTATCTAAATCATTTGATACCCTCATCACCTTACTCTTTTCTATGTTCACTTTCAACTTTCTACCTTTACACACATTCTCAAATTCATCCACTAACCTTTGCAACTTTTCTTTAGAATCACCCATGAGCACTGTATCATCAGCAAAAAGTAACTGTGTCAACTCCCATTTTGTATTTGATTCCCCACAATTTAATCCCAGCCCTCTCCCCAACACCCTAGCATTTACTTCTTTTACAATCTCATCTATAAATATATTAAACAACCATGGTGACATTACACATCCCTGTCTAAGACCCACATTTACCGGGAAGTATTCTCCCTCTCTTCTACACACCCTAACCTGAGCCTCACTATCCTCATAAAAACTCTTTACAGCATTTAGTAACTTACTACCTATTCCATATACTTGTAACATCTGCCATATTGCTCCCCTATCCACTCTATCATATGCCTTTTCTAAATCCATAAATGCAATGAAAACTTCCCTACCTTTATCCAAATACTGTTCACATATATGCTTCAATGTAAACACATTGAAGCATATATGTAAATGCATCCCCTACCCACTCTCAAAACCTCCTTGCTCATCTGCAATCCTACTCTCTGTCTTACCTCTAATTCTTTCAATAATAACTAGGTCATTCACTCCCTGCTCGAAGAGCCTTATCATACCTCTTCTTAAAACTAGGTATGAATCCGGCCTCTACTAGTTCAATTTTTAGGTTGTTCCACTTCATAACAACTTTAAGGCTAAAGAAATACTTCCTATGAATATGTTATAAAGGCAACCTGTACTCTTACTGTCAACTTAGATATTTTTTCCTGTACATGCTATTAGTTTTACTACATTCACCCTTTGTTATTAGGTTAATTTTGGTTAGCTTAGGTTAACCCTTTCAGGGTCAAGAGACCCTCTCCTAAACTTGTTCTCAGGGTCAAAAATTTTTCGGGAAAAAAAATATCTTATGATAGAGAAACTTTTCCCGATCATAATGACACCAAAAGTATGAAATTTTATGGAAAACTTACGGAATTATGCTCTCACGAAGTTAGCGGTCTCGCCAATGTTTATGCATCAGCAATTTCACCCAGTTTGAGCCCTATTTTCGGCCAATTCCTGTGTACTGGTCAACAAAAATCATATTTATGTCACTAGAACTCCATTTTTTCTATCGAACAAGTATAAAAAACCACCCATTAACCAATTTCAACTATCCAATAAAGTGGCTAGAAATTGGCAATTTTGCCAATTTCACACAAATTTCAGAAGATACCAATTTCCAAATAGGGTCCAGAATAAACAAGACAGACATTCCTGGCACTAAAATAACAAGTTCTCTGTTCGTTAGTCACGTCCCCAGGCCCCTCTTATATTTCTTTTTGCTTTCCACTTTGAATTTTTATTCTTACAAAAAATAGAAGATTTACTGTTATGCAGACTACTGCATTAGTGTAGAAATGGTATAAATAATATCAGCCCACTTGTAAAAGAATATTAGACTCGCCAGTTGACGTGTATTGGACGCTTGGCATGATTTGTTTACTTTTGAACTTTGGTAAAAATCAAATATTTCTGCTACTTTGAGCTCAATTTCATGGTACTTTTCATTGTGAAACCAATCAGAATCATCTCAGTTTCTGTGTTATGTCTTCCATTCTATAAAATGAGACCAGGAAAACTAGAATACAACCATAAATACCATACGAAAATACAGTGGACCCCCGGTTAACAATATTTTTTCATTCCAGAAGTATGTTCAGGTGCTAGTACTGACCGAATTTGTTCCCATAAGGAATATTGTGAAGTAGATTAGTCCATTTCGGACCCCCAAACATACACGTACAAATGCACTTACATAAATACACTTACATAATTGGTCGCATTGGGAGGTGATCGTTAAGCGGGGGTCCACTGTACAGTGCAAAGTCGCTGTTTTAATCTAAAAACACTGGTCAAAGTTTTTTTTTTTTCATTGCGCATTGTGTGCTGCAGGATTTCTTTTTATGCTATGCACACTGACCACATAGACGCATTCTTTCATATGTAGGCCTACCAGCTTTCTCTCGCTAGATTTGAAGGCGCTAGAATTTAGGCGTTCTAGCACGTCAATAACAATACGTCTATAACCCGTACTAGTACGCCGAAAACCCTGAAAGGGTTAATGCTAATTAACTAAATTTTATGAGTTTAACAAACAATAGCACTAATCTATGAAAAAAATTCATTATAGCTCTTCACAGAGCAAAATGTTGTCACAGTAGAAGCTTATTTTACAACTTACATCTTTGTTTTCATACTTGTCAACATTAAGTCCATTTCATGAAAATAGTATTACTCATAGTTTGTCTGCTCAAAACACTAGGCCTATTGGCTTTTCAAAATTTTTAAAATTTATTTTACCTTTTTTTTTTGAATGAAAATGTTATTTTTGTTGTTGATGTTATTATACAATCAAATTACTTGTTAATTGATACACCAGAATCATAATTGTTTGTAAATTGAGCTCCTCCTGCACTTTGATACTTAGTGACTATTTTATATCACATCCTGGAGGATGGTAAACTGTACCATAAATATATTGCTAAAGATTCAGGGAAACCACTTAGCTGGACTTGAATCCTGGAGGTAGGAGGTACAGTGCCTACACTCTGGGGAGGGGTGGGGGATGTTGCAATTTGGAGGGTCATTTGAACTGTGATGTCTGCACACATCTAGCAAGGCAGCTATTGAATGAGGGATGGTGAATGTGTTTCCTTTTTTAGGGGGATTCCCTACCTTTGTGGGAGAATTACAGTGTGTTATAAAAAGTCAGCATTTTAATTGAGCTGAGATAAGATATTAACTCTTAAATTGTACAAGTAAAAATGTATAATGTAAGAACTCCATATTTATCTCAGGTGCTCTAATGCTATTGAAAAATATCTAGATGTTCATAGTTAATCCTTTACTCACTTTTTTCTTCAGGTGATAACATTTTTGAAAACTGAAACAGAGTACCTGAGTCTGCTCAAGTGTGTTAATCAGCACGTGGTGAAGCCCTTCCTGTCGACCTGTGTGCTTGGCAACAACAGCAAGAGCTCGTCATCCATCTCACACAAGGACGCCTGTGCCTCCAGCTCTGTTGGAGGCAGCGGAGCCTCAGGTGGGACACCTGTAATTCCAGGTGGGAAATTTATTGGTATCCGCTGTTATGCTCCAACCAACAAGGTTCATCATCAGAGTATCCATTATCTTGTCGTCATCATTTACAGTGAAATGCCTTCCTCATCTCTGGCCTATAATATTTTATTCTCTCTATCCTTCATCCCTCTCTCTGTGTTGATCTTTCCTTTCTCTCACTCACCCTGTTCTTCAACCCCCCACCCCTATTCTTTATCCCCTTCACTCATCCTATTCTTAATCTCTCACTTATCCCATTCTTAATCCCTCTCACTCACCCTGTTCTTTATCCCCCCCATCACACACCTTGCTCTTCATCCCCTCTCACACACTGTGTCCTCTGACCCCCCCCACCCACCTTATCCATCCTCCTCCTTACCATCTGTCATCCCCCCTCCTTGCTGTCCATTATCCCCTCACTACACCCAATTCATCTTCCCCCTTATTCTGTTCATCATCATCTCCCCCCCCCCTCCATATCATCTTCCTCACCCTCTCCTTGCCATGCTCTTCTTCATCTCACTATTTCTGTCCTACATTGCTCCTCACTCTCCCTGTACATCCTGCCTCCATCCCATCTTTCTAGACACCATTATTTTGAAGTAAGCTTCACTAGGACAGAATAGTAGGAATTGTACTAGGCATCAACACCAGGTGAATAATGAACATCATGGAAGATATATTTTAAAAAACAATTACTGTCATACAGTTTAATTAATCCATTATACCATGAAGTTGGGAACTAGGGTAGTGATCAAGTTAGTAAGGATAGTGGAAGGAAGTGTAGGAAGTTATCCATGTACTTTATGGGGAGAAAAATCTCTAAGTAGAGGTTTAACAGATTAGTTATTATTGCTCATCATCATGTCATAATTGTCATTATCATTGTTGTCATCTTCATCAGTCATCATCATCAGCAGCAGCAGCACTAAAACAGTTTGGGTCATTCATCACAAGGAGTGGGGAAGGCTCAGTCCTTCATCTGCTATATGCAAGACAGACCTAAGTGTACTCTTCTAGGTCAGGATTGTGATTGAACTTGAAAGGTAACAAAATGAGACAAAAATAATGTGTATTGGAATATTTCTGTGTGGTGGACAGATACTGGAAGAATCCAAGAGTGATGTGATGTTAATATGCATTGGTAGTGGGAGCCAAAAATTCCTGTCTTGTAATGCTAGAGTTAGAAATGGGTGAAAAATAATTTATTACTTAATGATGTGCAGTTTACAAGATAGATCTTATGGAAGAATAGTACATTGGAATGGTGAAAAATTACTAAATTGCAATTATGAAATAATATAAATATTCCAAGTAGGTTGGTAGACAGCAACCACCCAGGGAGGTACTACCGTCCTACCAAGTGAGTGTAAAACGAAGCCTGTGATTGTTTTACATGATGGTAGGATTGCTGATGTCTTTTGTCTGTCTCATAAATATGCAAGATTACAGGCATGTCTTGCTACTTCTACTTACACTTAGGTCACACTACACATACATGTACACATTTATTTATACACACTCATCTGAGTTTTCTTTGATTTTATCTTAATAGTTCTTGGTCTTATTAATTTTCCTTTTATATCCATGGGGAAGTGGAATAAGAATCTTTCCTCCGTAAGCCATGCGTGTTGTAAAAGTCAACTAAAATGCCGGGGAACAATGGGCTAGTAACCCCTTTTCCTGTAAAGATTACTAAAAAGAATAAGAAGAAGAAAATTGTCAAAGTGGGAAGTCTGAATGTGCGTGGATGTTGTGCAGATGATAAGAAAGAGATGATTGTGGATGTTATGAATGAGAAAAAGCTGGATGTCCTGGCTTTAAGTGAAACAAAGCTGAAGGGGGTGGGAGAGTTTCAGTGGAGAGGAATAAATGGGATTAGGTCAGGGGTTTCAAATAGAGTTAGAGCTAAAGAAGGAGTAGCAATAATGTTGAAGGATAAGCTATGGCAGGAAAAGAGGGACTATAAATGTATTAATTCAAGGATTATGTGGAGCAAAATAAAGATTGGATGTGAAAAGTGGGTTATAATAAGCGTGTATGCACCTGGAGAAGAGAGAAGTGTAGAGGAGAGAGAGAGATTTTGGGAAATGTTGAGTGAATGCGTGGGGAGTTTTGAATCAAGTGTGAGAGTAATGGTGGTTGGGGATTTTAATGCTAAAGTGGGTAAAAATGTTATGGAGGGAGTAGTAAGGTAAATTTGGGGTGCCAGGGTAAATGTAAATGGGGAGCCTTTAATTGAGCTATGTGTAGAAAAGAAATTTGGTAATAAGTAATACATATTTATGAAAAAGAGGATAAATAAATATACAAGGTATGATGTAGCACGTAATGAAAGTAGTTTATTAGATTATGTATTGGTGGATAAAAGGTTGATGGGTAGGCTCCAGGATGTACATGTTTATAGAGGGGCAACTGATATATCGGATCATTATTTAGTTGTAGCTACAGTTAGAGTAAGAGGTAGATGGAAAAGAGGAAGGTGGCAACAACAAGTAAGAGGGAGGTGAAAGTGTATAAACTAAGGGAGGAAAATTCGGTGAGATATAAGGACTATTGGCAGAAAGGTGGGCTAGTGCAAAGATGAGTAGTGGGGGGTTGGAAGAGGGTTGGAATAGTTTTAAAAATGCAGTATTAGAATGGGGGGCAGAAGTTTGTGGTTATAGGAGGGTGGGGGCAGGAGGAAAGAGGAGTGATTGGTGGAATGATGAAGTAAAGGGTGTGATAAAAGAGAAAAAGGTAGCTTATGAGAGGTTTTTACAAAGCAGAAGTGTTATAAGAAGAGCAGAGTATATGGAGAGTAAAAGAAAGGTAAAGAGAGTGGTGAGAGAGTGCAAAAGGAGAGCAGATGATAGAGTGGGAGAGGCACTGTCAAGAAATTTTAATGAAAATAAGAAAAAATTTTGGAGCGAGTTAAACAAGTTAAGAAAGCCTAGGGAAAATATGGATTTGTCAGTTAAAAACAGAGTAGGGGAGTTAGTAGATGGGGAGATGGAGGTATTGGTAGATGGCGAGAATATTTGAGGAACTTTTAAATGTTAAGGAAGAAACAGAGGCAGTAATTTCATGCACTGGTCAGGGAGGTATACCATCTTTTAGGAGTGAAGAAGAGCAGAACGTAAGTGTGGGGAGGTACGTGAGGCATTACGTAAAATGAAAGGGGGTAAAGCAGCTGGAACTGATGGGATCATGACAGAAATGTTAAAAGCAGGGGGGATATAGTGTTGGAGTGGTTGGTACTTTTTTTAATAAATGTATGAAAGAGGGAAGGTACCTAGGGATTGGCAGAGAGCATGTATAGTCCCTTTATATAAAGGGAAAGGGGACAAAAGAGACTGTAAAAATTATAGAGGAATAAGCTTACTGAGTATACCAGGAAAAGTGTACGGTAGGGTTATAATTGAAAGAATTAGAGGTAAGACAGAATGTAGGATTGCGGATGAGCAAGGAGGTTTTAGAGTGGGTAGGGGATGTGTAGATCAGGTGTTTACATTGAAGCATATATGTGAACAGTATTTAGATAAAGATAGGGAGGTTTTTATTGCATTTATGGATTTAGAAAAGGCATATGATAGAGTGGATAAGGAGCAATGTGGCAGATGTTGCAAGTATATGGAATAGGTGGTAAGTTATTAAATGCTGTAAAGAGTTTTTATGAGGATAGTGAGGCTCAGGTTAGGGTGTGTAGAAGAGAGGGAGACTACTTCCCGGTAAAAGTAGGTCTTAGACAGGGATGTGTAATGTCACCATGGTTGTTTAATATATTTATAGATGGGGTTGTAAAGGAAGTAAATGCTAGGGTGTTTGGGAGAGGGGTGGGATTAAATTATGGGGAATCAAATTCAAAATGGGAATTGACACAGTTACTTTTTGCTGATGATACTGTGCTTATGGGAGATTCTAAAGAAAAATTGCAAAGGTTAGTGGATGAGTTTGGGAATGTGTGTAAAGGTAGAAAGTTGAAAGTGAACATAGAAAAGAGTAAGGTGATGAGGGTGTCAAATGATTTAGATAAAGAAAAATTGGATATCAAATTGGGGAGGAGGAGTATGGAAGAAGTGAATGTTTTCAGATACTTGGGAGTTGACGTGTCGGCGGATGGATTTATGAAGGATGAGGTTAATCATAGAATTGATGAGGGAAAAAAGGTGAGTGGTGCGTTGAGGTATATGTGGAGTCAAAAAACGTTATCTATGGAGGCCAAAGAAGGGAATGTATGAAAGTATAGTAGTACCAACACTCTTATATGGGTGTGAAGCTTGGGTGGTAAATGCAGCAGCAAGGAGACGGTTGGAGGCAGCGGAGATGTCCTGTCTAAGGGCAATGTGTGGTGTAAATATTATGCAAAAAATTCGGAGTGTGGAAATTAGGAGAAGGTGTGGAGTTAATAAAAGTATTAGTCAGAGGGCAGAAGAGGGGTTGTTGAGGTGGTTTGGTCATTTAGAGAGAATGGATCACAGTAGAATGACATGGAAAGCATATAAATCTATAGGGGAAGGAAGGCGGGGTAGGGGTCGTCCTCGAAAGGGTTGGAGAGAGGGGGTAAAGGAGGTTTTGTGGGTAAGGGGCTTGGATTTCCAGCAAGCGTGCGTGAGCGTGTTAGATAGGAGTGAATGGAGACGAATGGTACTTGGGACCTGACGATCTGTTGGAGTGTGAGCAGGGTAATATTTAGTGAAGGGATTCAGGGAAACCGGTTATTTTCATATAGTCGGACTTGAGTCCTGGAAATGGGAAGTACAATGCCTGCACTTTAAAGGAGGGGTTTGGGATATTGGCAGTTTGGAGGGATATGTTGTGTGTCTTTATATGTGTATGCTTCTAGACTGTTGTATTCTGAGCACCTCTGCAAAAACAGTGATAATGTGCGAGTGTGGTGAAAGTGTTGAATGATGATGAAAGTATTTTCTTTTTGGGGATTTTCTTTCTTTTTTGGGTCACCCTGCCTCGGTGGGAGACGGCCGACTTGTTGAAAAAAAAAAAAAAAAAAAAAAAAATTCCAAGTGATGAGGTGAAAGATGTTTTCATTTTAGGGTATATTTTTTTTTTTTATATATAACATGCTGGCCATTTCCCACTGAGGCAGGGTTACCCCATAAAAAAAGAAACACTTTTACCATCAGTCACATTATCGCTGTCTTTGTAGAGGTGTGCAGATCTGACAGTTTATATGTCACCCTAAACAACAGATATCCCAAACCCCTCATAATAAAGTGCAGGCATTGTACTTCCCATCTCCACCTAACTGATTTGTGGGCCTGATAGCACTTCTGGAAAAGAGAGCTTGAGAGTGAGAGATGGTGAATGCACTTCATTTTTTGAGTCAGCTTGCCTTGGTGGGAAACAGCCATTGTGTTTATCAGCAAATATTAAAAAGTTGATAATGGTAGATTATGGAAAGTCTTAAAAAACTGTAGCTGTTCAAGGGGAATGAATTCATGCTGGTTAAAGATTCTTGATCCAACGAATTGGAGCTGTCCTACCTTTAATTAAATCCAGGCTGATCACCTCCCATTTGCCAAGTACAGTATGGTCCTAAGTAGTTCAATGCTTTCCTGCGAGTATAATAATAATTAATAGACTGTAATGTGAGAAACCCCTTCATGACTACTTCAGTTATGGAATGTCTTCTATGGTGTGGAGCACTGACTTGAGCAACTCTGAATCTGAAACATAAATCTGAAAATAGTTAAAAGAAGGAAGAATGGGGAAATAATCTGTAGAAATAGCAAAATGTTGAGCATGTGGGGTGGGTGTGGCAGCAAATATTTTCAAGCTACATGAGCCTTTTTGATGTGTAGTAGGAAGAGACTGTATGACCCTTGTGGGTTTAGTGCTTAGTTCTGATGATAATAATAATAATAAGAGTAGGAAGAAGGCTTGTGAGAATGAGTGCATAATTATTTATTTCTACAGTATTGTGATTTGTTGTAATTCACATGAGTATATCTGTATTCCAGCAGTTGACAACAGTCAAGTGCTACAGACAAAACAGGAACTTTTAGAAGCTTACCTTGATGTAACACATGCAGTGGCTAGTAGTCTAAGTGATATGTTAGATGACCAAGCAGCTGATGTCACCGCTGTCATACCAATAATACGACAGGTGAGACATCCTAATACCTAGTGAGAAATATTCCTTCACCAGGGGTGGCACCAAGGGGTAGAGGGCCCTGAAGGGAAGGGCTGAAGCTTTTCCCAAAATTCCATCATCCTTCCAAAGCCTCCCAGTAACAACATTAATAATAATAATAATGTCAACACTGCTTTAAGATAAACCCTTGACCCTTTCTTTCAACCAGATTGTCACACCTATGTCTCTTTGCCCTTTCCTGACTTATAGATGGAACTGTTCTATCTAAAATTGTTAATTTTATGAGGAGTTCTACAGTATATCATTCATATTACATAACTCTGCTCCACGGCCTTCTGCTGTTCTGTCCTCATTTAATATCTTCAGATATAACTTGTAATAGTAATTTAGTATTTCCTAAAGACTAACTGCGTTGTCATTCTTTTCATAAGGAAGTGCTAAACTCATTAAGATCATACAGCACTTGGGAATGGGAGTATGGTAATCTAGTTTGTTCTGAGGAAGGGTAAGATAGCTCCAATCACTTCCTTTGATAAGAGCCCTTTCCTTGAAACCATATCAGACACACTGTATTTTTTTTTTTTTAAGTCGGCCGTCTCCCACCAAGGCAGGGCTACCCAAAAAGAAAATACGCTCATCATCATTCAACGCTTTCACCTCACTCATACATAATCACTGTCTTTGCAGAGGCACTCAGATACGACAGTTTAGAAGTCCCTCCAAATTGCCAATATCCCAAACCCCCTCCTTTAAAGTGCAGGTATTGTACTTCCCATTTCCAGGACTCAAGTCCGGCTAACCGGTTTACCTAAATCCCTTCACTAAATATTACCCTGCTCACACTGCAACAGCTCGTCTTGTATTATGTCAGTGGTATTAATTGAAACCTTTTGGGAAAAGCTCTAAGGTCTGATTAAAATTAATGTAGCATTCTGTAGATATTGACTGTATATCCAGTACTCTCCAGTAGTTTTAGAGATATGATTTAGTGTGGTTATGATTGCTGGGTTTTGATGCGTAATGACTGGCTTTAGATGGTTACTAACTGTCAGTTCCCAGGCACAGATCCAGTACTTGATGCATGATGTAGTAGAGTTAGGTATGTAGCAGCTGATCTTAGAGAGTACAGTAGTCCACCTAAAGTTGTGAAGTAGAGTACTTACACTTTCAAGGATGGGTGAGGATGTTGCTGCTTGGAGGGCCACCTGAGTTGTGATGTCTTGCCAGAAGGCAAGACAGTGATGGAATGAATGATGATGGATGTGTTTCTTTTTTTTTTATTGCCCTTCCTTGGTGGGAGATGGTGTGTTTTCTTTTTTTTATTATTAAACATTAACCACTTGACAACTTGAGGCAAGATGCAGGGAAGCTGAGTGGATGTAGAGCATATGGCTGGAGGGAAAGAAAAGGAAAAGGATTTTAGACATAGAAATAAGAGAGAATTGCATTAAACAGTTCTATTTTTTTTACTGTAAAGACTTTGCTTTGATACTTTGTGTATATTTGGTTGGTGCATGTATAGTGGAGCTCATTAGCCTCTTAAGTAATGTAGATTTTTTATTTTGTGTTTTAGAAGTGGGTAATGAGAAGCTGTTATAAAAGGTTGCTAATGTAACACTAGTTACTAAGTGAAATTACTCTTGGCAAACTGTCACTAATCTGGAAATATTGTACTGTAATATAGTAATACAGCCCTACATATTTTTTGGCTTCCTTATTTGTGACTTTCAATCATTTTTACTGATGGGTTAACCATGAATATACTCAGTTACTAACAGTTTTCCAGCTTTATTTCTTTCCTATTTTTTTTTTATCCTGATCATTATTTCTTACAGTAAATGTCAGTTCAGTGTTAACCAAATTAAAGTGATATTACAGAGATGTGGTTTACAAAATAAAATAAACCCAGATCTAAAACAATTTTTTTTAACATGCTGACCGTCCCCCACTGAGACGGTGGGAGGCGGCCAGCATGTTTAAAAAAAGAAAAAGAAACACTCACCATCATTCACGCTGTCACCGCTTGCTAGAGGTGTGCAGATATGACAGACTTAATTTTGCAATATTCCCAGTTTTTAGTTTCACAGAACCTCTAAGAATATAAACACTCGTGAATTTATAGGAAAGATTATGCAGTGTGATATTGTCATGTAGCATTGGCTTTGTTACCTTCTTTATACCATGTTTATGTATAATTTGCATTTGTACCTTATTAATGATTAACAAAGGGAGGCCTAATGATTTTTTTTCCCTGACCAATTGTTACAACAGGTGGAGGAGCACAAGTCTATTTACCAGAAATATGTGAACTTGGTATGTGACGCAATTGCCATTAGTGGTCTCACAGTCTCGAGTAAAGAAGCCAATATAGTGATGGAGAAATGCCAGTCTGTTTTAGCAAATCTCATTCCTGAAGATAAGAGGAAAACAAACACTGAACTCTTTGCTTACCTCATCCTGCGGCCACTACACCACATCCACGAGTATGTTGAGTTTCTGCTGTCCATGAAGAACGATGCTGATAATTATTACTCTCCTTTTACTCTAGACAAGATCAAGATTGCTCATTCCCACTGGAAGCAGCTTTCCAACATAGCACAAAAGAATCAGGTAAAGAAATTTTATAGTATTAGTTTAGTATGCTTACTTTTTGATGTACCAGTATGAGATCTGTAGGACTTAAAACTTTGTGATAGCTTAAGAAGTTTCATCATTTTTATATTCATCACTGTCCACTATTAATATAAGCATCACCACCTTCACTATCATCAACACACATTTAGTCATCACTCTCACCTCTACTAACTAATCTTGTTACCTTTGCTTCTGTCATCACCACCACTACCATTACTATTATCTCCTCCTTCCACCATTACCATTAACCTTCTCTGCCTTATATTGTTTAATATGAAAAAACCTTCCCTACCTCTGCCATCCACTCACCCTGGGAGGATAATAGTGACCTGCCAACTTTAATACGATAAACATGTATATTTCAGGCAGAAGCTGAAGTAACAAAAGCCTACTGGGAAACCTGCAGTCCCAAGATGGTGGAAGCTCTGGCCAACCCATCACGACGACTTCTCAGAGATTCACGCACCAGCCCCATCAATGTACACAATGCTGGACGCTTTTCATCCCATTCATTTGTGCTGCTGACTGATGTTTTAGTGCATATCCAGTACTCAAATTTCACGACATATAATCTCAATATCATGTGGGTAGAGCCAGTGCCAAACAGCTCAAGTATTCAGGTAGGAGAAATGGAAAACAGTACACTTGAAAACTTAATTTATTCTGTTTTAAACTGATTCAAACTGCTTAAAAATACTTATTTTATTTTTTTTATTATCACACTGGCCGATTCCCACCAAGGCAGGGTGGCCCGAAAAAGAAAAACTTTCACCATCATTCACTCCATCACTGTCTTGCCAGAAGGGTGCTTTACACTACAGTTTTTAAACTGCAACATTAACACCCCTCCTTCAGAGTGCAGGCACTGTACTTCCCATCTCCAGGACTCAAGTCCGGCCTGCGGTTTCCTGAATCCCTTCATAATGTTACTTTGCTCACACTCCAACAGCACGTCAAGTATTAAAAACCATTTGTCTCCATTCACTCCTATCAAACACGCTCACGCATGCCTGCTGGAAGTCCAAGCCCTCGCACACAAAACCTCCTTTACCCCCTCCCTCCAACCCTTCCTAGGCCGGACCCTACCCCGCTTCCTTCCACTACAGACTGATACACTCTTGAAGTTATTCTGTTTCGCTCCATTCTCTCTACATGTCCGAACCACCTCAACAACCCTTCCTCAGCCCTGGACAACAGTTTTGGTAATCCCGCACCTCCTCCTAACTTCCAAACTACGAATTCTCTGCATTATATTCACACCACACATTGCCCTCAGACATGACATCTCCACTGCCTCCAGCCTTCTCCTCGCTGCAACATTCATCACCCATGCTTACACCCATATAAGAGCGTTGGTAAAACTATACTCTCATACATTCCCCTCTTTGCCTCCAAGGACAAAGTTCTCTGTCTCCACAGACTCCTAAGTGCACCACTCACTCTTTTTCCCTCATCAATTCTATGATTCACCTCATCTTTCATAGACCCATCCGCTTGACACGTCCACTCCCAATATATCTGAATACGTTCACCTCCTCCATACTCTCTCCCTCCAATCTGATATTCAATCTTTCATCACCTAATCTTTTTGTTATCCTCATAACCTTACTCTTTCCTGTATTCACCTTTAATTTTCTTCTTTTGCACACCCTACAAATTCATCCACCAATCTCTGCAGCTTCTCTTCAGAATCTCCCAAGAGCACAGTGTCATCGCAAAGAGCAGCTGTGACAACTCCCACCCTGTGTGTGATTCTTTATCTTTTAACTCCACGCTCTTGCCAAGACCTCGCATTTACTTCTCTTACAACCCCATCTATAAATTTATTAAACAACCACGGTGACATCACACATCCTTGTCTAAGGCCTCTTTTACTGGGAAAAAATTTCCCTCTTTTCTACATACTCTAACTTGAGCCTCACTATCCTCGTAAAAACTCTTCACTGCTTTCAGTAACCTACCTCCTACACCATACACTTGCAACATCTGCCACATTGCCCCCCTATCCACCCTGTCATACGCCTTTTCCAAATCCATAAATGCCACAAAGACCTCTTTAGCCTTATCTAAATACTGTTCACTTATATGTTTCACTGTAAACACTGGTCCACACACCCCCTACCTTTCCTAAGCCTCCTTGTTCATCTGCTATCCTATTCTCCGTCTTACTCTTAATTCTTTCAATTATATCTACCATACACTTTACCAGGTACACTCAACAGACTTATCCCCCTATAATTTTTGCACTCTCTTTTATCCCCTTTGCCTTTATACAAAGGAACTATGCATGCTCTCTGCCAATCCCTAGGTACCTTACCCTCTTCCATACATTTATTAATAATATGCACAACCACTCCAAAACTATATCCCCACCTGCTTTTAACATTTCTATCTTTATCCCATCAATCCGGCTGCCTTACCCCCTTTCATTTTACCTACTGCCTCACGAACTTCCCCACACTCACAACTGGCTCTTCCTCACTCCTACAAGATGTTATTCCTCCTTGCCCTATACACGAAATCACAGCTTCCCTATCTTCATCAACATTTAACAATTCCTCAAAATATTCCCTCCATCTTCCCAATACCTCTAACTCTCCATTTAATAACTCTCCTCTCCTATTTTTAACTGACAAATCCATTTGTTCTCTAGGCTTCCTTAACTTGTTAATCTCACTCCAAAACTTTTTCTTATTTTCAACAAAATTTGTTGATAACAGCTCACCACTCTCTCATTTACTCTCTTTTTACATTGCTTCACCACTCTCTTAACCTCTCTCTTTTTCTCCATATACTCTTCCCTCCTTGCATCACTTCTACTTTGTAAAAACTTCTCATATGCTAACTTTTTCTCCCTTACTACTCTCTTTACATCATCATTCCACCAATCGCTCCTCTTCCCTCCTGCACCCACTTTCCTGTAACCACAAACTTCTGCTGAACACTCTAACACTACATTTTCATAAAAATGAGGTATATATAGTATTAAAATACCCAAAATGCTCTACATAATCAGTGGCATTCCAATAAGTCTTCCAGGGCAGTGGAAAATAAAATGATGTTCAGTAGTGATAAGTTCCAACTGCTTAGGTATGGAAAGAATGAAGAACTCAAGAGAGAGACTGTATGCAATACAAAATGCAAGATCACCAAATAGAATGACAGGAACATGTGAAAGATTTGGGTGCAATAATGTCAGTTGAACTTTCTTTCAAAGAACACAATAAGGAAAATGTCTTGAAAGCCAGGAAAATGATAAAGTGGAAAATGAGAGTGTTTAAAACAAAGGAAATAGTGCTAATGGTGTGACACTTTTCAAATCACTTGTGCTCATTTGCATTGTCCACTGTTGATGGCTCCTTTCAGGGAAGGAGAGATAGCAGAGCTGGAACAGATGCAGAGAGCATATATAATCTGCATAGAGCCAGTAAAGCATTAAATTACTGGGAACACCTCAAAGTTTTAAATATGTACTCACTGGAGCAGAAGAAAGTATGATAATGAACTCATTTTAAGTTGTAATAAATGACTGTAAATTTACTTATTTACTTATTACGACTTAGGTGAGTTCATGGACTATATGGATTTGAGGGGGATGAGGATAGATTTACTGCAAAAGCTAGTGAGGCTGTGGGAGAGAGAGTTTTGGGTTACAGATAGTACAAGTGATGGAGACAAGAACAGAAATTGTCTCCAAATCCTTTCTGTTAGAAGCCCAATAGCCTGGCGGTCAAGCACTGGACCTGCCATTACCAGGGCCATGGTCTGATACCCCTGTCCTTCTTTCTGTTTATTTATGTATGATAATATGTACATGGAAAATGTGTGAAGGCCTGGTCCCAGATCTTTATACTACCATAACAATGTACTGGAGTGAGAAACATGGGAGAATGTGTACAGTAAACCCAGTGAAAAAATAGGGGGACCATGGGCACAATAAGAAGAGTGTATCAACATCCATGGTCCCAGACTATTTAACACTCAACCATAAGATATCAGAAACATTGCCAGAACATGTGTAGACATTTTCCAGATGAAATTGGACATGTTTCTCTCCCAGGTGCCAGATCAACAAGGCTGTGACGGATATGTGGGCCAGTGGGCCACCGGCAGTAACAGCCTGGTTGATCAAGCAAGCAAGCTTGGCCCAGGGCTTGGCTGTGAGAGTAGGAAAATACTTGAAAGCCTTCAAAAGTATATCAGAAGTAAAGGTTGTAGTCCATACCACTTATTAACCATTGTAAGCTTTTGGAAATAAAGTTTATTTTCCTTTGTGTTAATGTCTTTTCATTTTTTTTTTTTTTTTTTTTTTTAATATTTTTTCTTTTATTTTTTCTACAGCTGTAATATTGATTTAAATTAAAATATGATGTATCAGGTATATGAATCATTTACAAATTTTACATGTAACCAGCTGAATGAACTAAGAGTGGGAATCAAATAATTATGTATATGATTCAAACTTATTGTTCGCCATTAAAAAACTTCACGTGCATCACAGTCTTTGTGTTCTTATTGAATTATTACTGCTACTGCAATTATTTCAGAATGGTATATTCATAACATTACCTGAGGACTACTTGACCCTGGCATGCCCCACCAGTTCAGATAAGAGTCAGTGGATGTATGCCCTTCAGGAGGGAATCAAGAGGTCAGTTTATGGCACTGGAGAGGCAGGCTTAGTGGTGATGCCAAGGACACCTCCTCTTGTGAGAAATGCATCTTACACCTTTACTAAAAGTACTCAGTATAAGGATGCTACATATAATGGTAAGTCATTGTGTGTTTTTTTTTTTTTTTTTTTTTCAACAAGTCGGCCGTCTCCCACCGAGGCAGGGTGACCCAAAAAAGAAAGAAAATCCCCAAAAAGAAAATACTCTCATCATCATTCAACACTTTCACCACAATCACACATTATCACTGTTTTTGCAGAGGTGCTCAGAATACAACAGTTTAAAAGCATACACATATAAAGATACACAACATATCCCTCCAAACTGCCAATATCCCCAACCCCTCCTTTAAGGTGCAGGCATTGTACTTCCCATTTCCAGGACTCAGTATCTCTCATCCTGGCTACGAGACACTTAACTAAGCTACAGCACCTCGTGCAAGCTAGGGTAATTAGTTCACACTCATTAACAGTTTGATAGTTACATTTAGTTTTGCATACCACTTAATTCATTCAGACATTAACCCTTTGACTGTAGCAATCCCCAATCCTAGAGTGTCTCTCAGTGTCGCAAAATACTTGAAAAAAAATTATTTTTTATGAAATGATAGAGAATCATTTCCCGATGCTAATGACACCAAAAGTACGAAATTTGATGGAAAACTTGTGGAATTACGCTCTCACGAAGTTAGTGATCTCGGCGATATTAATGAATCGGTGATTTCACCCACTTTGTGCCCTATTTTCGGCCAGTTCCGTTGTTCTAGTTGACCAAACTCATAGCCATTTCTTTAGAACTCTATTTGTTCTATTGATTGAGTACAAGAAATTGCCCATTTACTGGTTTCAGCTACCCAATAAAGTGGTCAGAAATTGGCAATTTGGCCAATTTCATGCAAATTAAAAAAATATGCCAATTTCAAAATAGGGTCCAGAATCAACAATACAGACATTCCTGGCACTAAAATAACATATTCTGTGTTCATCACTCATGTCTCCAGACCCTCTTATATTACTCTTGCTTTCTATTTTGAATTTTTATTCACATAAAAAATAGAAGATTTACTATTATGCAGACTACTGCATTATTGTAACAATTGTATAAATAATGTCAACCCATTCATGACTGCTTATTAGAATGGTTAGTTGGACATGTATTGGACAACGATGTCATTTGTTTACTCTTGAACATCGGCAAAAATCGAGCATTTCCGCTACTTTGAGTAGCATTTCAAGGTCCTTTTCATAGAGAAATCAGTCAAAATCATCTCTATTTCTATAGTATGTTTTCCATGCCATCAAATGAGACCAAGAAAACGAGAACACAACCATAAATACTCTACGAAAATACATCTCAAGATCAGAGTTTTAATCCAAAAATATGGTTGGAGTTTTTTTTTTTTTTTCTTATTATGTACTGCATGCTGCAGGATTTTTTTTATACTGCGCACACTGACCAGACAGACCCATTCTCTCACATGGGGGCCTACCAGCTTTCTCCTGCTTGATTTGAAGCCGCTAGAATTTTTGAGTATACATGTAGTATATACCTCAATCCTGTTGGCTCATGAGATATATATACAGTGGACCCCCGGTTAACGATATTTTTTCACTCCAGAAGTATGTTCAGGTGCCAGTACTGACCGAATTTGTTCCCATAAGGAATATTGTGAAGTAGATTAGTCCATTTCAGACCCCCAAACATACATGTACAAACGCACTTACATAAATACACTTACATAATTGGTCGCATTCGGAGGTGATCGTTATGCGGGGGTCCACTGTATATATGACCAAAACAGTCGAGTAACACCTTCTATGACAGTTAAATGAATTGGTGCTAGTTATGATGTTATTCCCATAACTTCTCTCTCTCTCTCTCTCTCTCTCTCTCTCTCTCTCTCTCTCTCTCTCCTCTTCTCTCTCTCTCTCTCTCTCTCTCTCTCTCTCTCTCTCTCTCTCTGCTTTCTTTCTCTGGAAAATATTGCACTTAGGTTTGTTCTAGGTCAATGGTTCTTTGGTAAGCTGCATGGTGAAGGCATCATGACTTGGCCTGATGGGCGGCAATACGAAGGACAGTTCCGCCAGAACGTCTACCATGGCCCTGGTCAGCTGGAGGTGCCCTCACCTGGAGGAGTAACTGTGTATGAAGGCACTTGGAAAAATGGAAAACTGGAGGGAAAAGGCATTATCAGGTGAGACATCATTGTATTAAAAAATTGAAGCATAGTATGATTGATTATTTCTGAGACAGGAAGTTGACAGCTAATTGAAATTTCTTTACCTAACTGTGAAGATGGGTCCACACAGTCAATGCTCCAGTTATTAGAAAGATCCAAAGGTTGTGGTTTATTAAGAGCTATATAGCAAATGATGCATCCATGCAATCGTCATGCTCATTACTAGCCAAACCCAATAATAATTAACTTGACTGTGTGTGACTGGTATACAATACCAACAAGATGAAGAATTAGACACGTGCAACATTTGTCTAATTCTTCAATACTAGCATCATCCACAGTGCCATTACAATATATTTATTATTTTTTTAAGCCATAAATATGTATTCATGATGTTTTTTTTTAAGCAAAGGCTTTCAGTACAGCAGATGGTTTTGTTTTTGCAGATATGCTAACAAGGATGTGTATATTGGGTACCTACATGAAAGTCAACCCCATGGACATGGAGAGATCAAGAAGGGCCGCTTCAGCTCTCAGGCAGCCTCCATATACACCGGGGAGTGGAGCTGCGGTGTTAAGCAGGGCTATGGTGTGCTCGATGAAATAGTTAAAGGTTTGTCAGTTTTTCTATTGCTGTGTTATTCATTGCCAACCTAGAGTGGTGTATGAATGTGCATGTGATGACTTGTGATTGGAGCACTTGCTTTTATTTAAAGGAACAGAATTTGCTTCCTTATGGGAGCAAATATGTTCGGTATCAGCACTTGAACAGCCTTCTGGAACGAATTAATTTTGTATCCCCAGGGACCACTGTATCTATGATGTATGTCTTCAATATTTACCTTATATTGTATAATATTGCAAAATTTCCATTAGTAGTAGCACATACTACAGCATACACCTGAACACACACTGTATGTAGCCATATTTTTAATCTTTTTTTTTTTTAACACACCAGCCACCCACTGTCTCTTCTCTTGTTGGATAAAGTGGCAGAAGTATTGTGTGCCATTGATTGTAGCATCTGCCCTCCTTCCTCACACCCATGTGTAATACATATTTTTCTTACAGTATGATAGAAAACAGTGCAGCTTTTCCAGTTTCTTCTGTACTAAATCTTATTGCTTTGTGTAACAGTGTTTAATTATTTTCAGAAGATGGTGGAAAAATTTGTAAGTAGAGGCATTTACCCTTCATCGTTGTGACCAACAACTTAAAATGAAAACAGTCTCTGAATTATGCATGGATACCCCTGATAATTTTTGGCAAAGAATAGAATGCTGACTGATGGGTGGCCACAGCATTTTATGAAGATTTTCCATAATGCATCACCTCTTGTCCAATAATTTATATGATATATCATACTGTAATAGGTAGTAGGTTGGTAGACAGCAACCGCCCAGGGAGGTACTACCGTCCTGCCAAGTGAGTGTAAAACGAAAGCCTGTAATTGTTTTACATGATGGTAGGATTGCTGGTGTCCTTTTTTCTGTCTCATGAACATGCAAGATTTCAGGTACGTCTTGCTACTTCTACTTACACTTAGGTCACACTACACATACATGTACAAGCACATATATACACACCCCTCTGGGTTTTCTTCTATTTTCTTTCTAGTTCTTATTCTTGTTTATTTCCTCTTATCTCCATGGGGAAGTGGAACAGAATTCTTCCTCCGTAAGCCATGCGTGTTGTAAGAGGCGACTAAAATGCCGGGAGCAAGGGGCTAGTAACCTCTTCTCCTGTATATATTACTAAATGTAAAAGGAGAAACTTTCGTTTTTCCTTTTGGGCCACCCCGCCTCGGTGGGATACGGCCGGTGTGTTGAAAGAAAGAAAGAAAGATATCATACTGTGCTGTTTTCACACCATTTTATACCATATATGTCTGTTATTAAGTATTTTTTTATTTCTCTGGTGGTTTCATGGTTTTATTGCACAATCTGTATTCTTCTTGTGGTTAGTTTTCACTTTTATCACTTACCATCATGTAGTTCCACCTGTGATATTTCTCAAGAAAATAGCAGAGTTATTAATGTAGCTGCTCTGACCAGTTAGCATAGCATTTGAATATAGTGTGAGTGCTTTCAATATCTAAACATTTAGAGTGAATGTGGAAGCTATAAATCCTGTCTACTCAAAGTGTAGTGAATCAGTGAAAAGGCTTACTGTAGTATGAAGTTTGTGCAGCTCATTAGGATGGAGACACAAAAATATTTGATAATGTACTTCTTTCTTTCTTTCAACACACCAGCCGTATCCCACTGAGGTGGGGTGGCCCAAAAGGAAAAACAAAAGTTTCTCCTTTTACATTTAGTAATATATACAAGAGAAGAGGTTACTAGCCCCTTGCTCCCGGCACTTTTTTGTCGCCTCTTACAACACGCATGGCTTACGGAGGAAGAATTCTATTCCACTTCCCCATGGAGGTAAGAGGAAATAAACAAGAACAAGAACTAGAAACATATAAGTGAACAGTATTTAGATAAGGCTAAAGAGGTCTTTGTGGCATTTATGGATTTGGAAAAGGCATATGACAGGGTGGATAGGGGGGCAATGTGGCAGATGTTGCAGGTGTATGGTGTAGGAGGTAGGTTACTGAAAGCAGTGAAGAGTTTTTACGAGGATAGTGAGGCTCAAGTTAGAGTATGTAGGAAAGAGGGAAATTATTTCCCAGTAAAAGTAGGCCTTAGACAAGGATGTGTGATGTCACCGTGGTTGTTTAATATATTTATAGATGGGGTTGTAAGAGAAGTGAATGCGAGGGTCTTGGCAAGAGGCGTGGAGTTAAAAGATAAAGAATCACACATAAAGTGGGAGTTGTCGCAGTTGCTCTTTGCTGATGACACTGTGCTCTTGGGAGATTCTGAAGAGAAGTTGCAGAGATTGGTGGATGAATTTGGTAGGGTGTGCAAAAGAAGAAAATTAAAGGTGAATACAGGAAAGAGTAAGGTTATGAGGATAAAAAGATTAGGTGATGAAAGATTGGATATCAGATTGGAGGGAGAGAGTATGGAGGAGGTGAATGTATTCAGATATTTGGAGTGGACGTGTCAGCGGATGGGTCTATGAAAGATGAAGTGAATCATAGAATTGATGAGGGGAAAAGGGTGAGTGGTGCACTTAGGAGTCGTGGAGACAAAGAACTTTGGCCTTGGTGGCAAAGAGGGGAATGTATGAGAGTATAGTTTTTACCAACGCTCTTATATGGGTGTGAAGCATGGGTGATGATGTTGCAGCGAGGAGAAGGCTGGAGGCAGTGGAGATGTCATGTCTGAGGGCAATGTGTGGTGTGAATATAATGCAGAGAATTCGTAGTTTGGAAGTTAGGAGGAGGTGCGGGATTACCAAAACTGTTGTCCAGAGGGCTGAGGAAGGGTTGTTGAAGTGGTTCGGACATGTAGAGAGAATGGAGCGAAACAGAATGACTTCAAGAGTGTATCAGTCTGTAGTGGAAGGAAGGCGGGGTAGGGTCGGCCTAGGAAAGGTTGGAGGGAGGGGGTAAAGGAGGTTTTGTGTGCGAGGGGCTTGGACTTCCAGCAGGCATGCGTGAGCGTGTTTGATAGGAGTGAATGGAGACAAATGGTTTTTAATACTTGACGTGCTGTTGGAGTGTGAGCAAAGTAACATTTATGAAGGGATTCAGGGAAACCGGCAGGCCGGACTTGAGTCCTGGAGATGGGAAGTACAGTGCCTGCACTCTGAAGGAGGGGTGTAAATGTTGCAGTTTAAAAACTGTAGTGTAAAGTACCCTTCTGGCAAGACAGTGATGGAGTGAATGATGGTGAAAGTTTTTCTTTTTTGGGCCACCCTGCCTTGGTGGGAATCTGCCAGTGTGATAAATAAAAAAAAAAATAAAAAAAAGAACTAGAAAGAAAATAGAAGAAAACTTAAAGGGGTGTGTATATATATGCTTGTACATGTAAGTGTAGTGTGACCTAAGTGTAAGTAGAAGTAGCAAGACGTACCTGAAATCTTGCATGTTTGAGACAGAAAAAAGGACACCAGCAATCCTACCATCATGTAAAACGATTACAGGCTTTCGTTTTACACTCACTTGGCAGGACGGTAATACCTCCCTGGGCGGTTGCTGTCTACCAGCCTACTACCTAGGGATAATAATGTTTTAGAAAAATACTGATATTATATCAGTCTCTGTATTTACAATGGCTAGAATCTTGTATGTATTGATTGCTGAGTCAGTCATCATTGAGAGAGGAAGTTAATCACTTCCTAACATACATTAGCTTCTAGAAGAAAGGTATGTTGTACATCACTCTGGTATTTGAATACTGAAAAACATTTTATTGAAAGGTTAATTTTTATTTTTTATGCCACCTCATGGGAGGTTTCTTGATACTGGTGAGGGGCTCTTGATGAAAGGAATTGTACCTGCCCTTTCATACCTTGGGTCAAACACAATTACCTCCCATTCCCCAGGCACTGTATGACCCCTGCAAGTTTAGCACTCCCTTCTCAATACACTAATAATAAAAATGAAATGTAATAAAATATCTGTGATGAAAGTATCTTCTTTCTTTTTGGGGTTTTTCTTTCTTTTTGGGTCACCCTGCCTTGGTGGGAAACAGCTGACATGTTAAAAAAAAATCTATGTACTGTACTGCATTAAATCTATGTACTGTGCTGTATGTTGTTTTTACAACAATTACTGGAACATGGCAGTTTTCAGGAACATCTACTGAGCTGTACATTATTTTACTGTATACCATCAATTACATTTAAAAATAATGAAGTCTCTTCCAGGTGAGAAGTATATGGGAATGTGGCAGAATAACAATCGTCATGGACCAGGTATGGTTGTCACTATGAATGGTGTGTACTACGAAGGAAATTTTTACCAAAACAAACTAACGGTGAGTATATCAATTTTCTTTATTTAATAAATGTTATATTAGTAATTGAAGGTGTGAGCAAGGTATTTTGGTATACACACAATGTGAACATCATGGTAAAAACTTTGATTTGTGAACCTGAAACTGAATATGGTAGTCTTTTATTTTACTTGCATATTAAGAGTATTTCCAAATTATTATTCTCTAAAGGCATTAATTTGTAAATATAGTATTTGTAATAACTATATACTAATTACTTTTTTAATACATAACTATTAATTCTCCATAGGGAAGTGGAACAGAATTCTTCCTCCGTAAGGGGTAACTAGCCCCTTGCCAGGAGCAAGGGGCTAGTTACCCCTTCTCCTGTATATACTACTAATTGTTAAAGGAGACACTCTCTTTTTTCCTTTTGGGTCACCCCACCTCAGTGGGATATGGCCGGTGTGTTGAAAGAAAGGAGAAGAAACTATTTTTAATCTTAGGACAGAGGTTGAAAACGTTTTTAAATTCTCATATTCCAAGTGACGGCTGCGCTGCTGTACTTATAGTACGTACATTTGTAACGAGATTTTTTACTAGTTTTTTTTTAACATGCTGGCTGTCTCCCACTAAGGCAGGGTGACCCAAAAAGAAACATTTGAACCATCATTCACACTATCACTGTCTTGCCAGAGACATATCTGTGCACCTATGGCAAGACAGTGGTAGTGTGAATGATGATGAACGTGTTTCTTTTTTGAATCACCGTGCCCTGGTGGGAGACGGCCAGCATATTAAAAAAAAATTACATGGAATGTGTGCACAAAGTCTAAAGATAGTTTTAAGCTATGATTAGGTATAGATTGTTGAATTTTAAGGCATAGTTGTACACTTTGATTCTCTCACTCTTGTACACACACAAAGCAAAGGACCCTTGTTGAATGTAGTAAATATAACTCAAGATAACAGTCAAGCTTAATTATTTTATCACCATTATTTATTAAAACTAAGAGTCATGGAAATTTAATTTGATTTATAGGGTTATGGGCTTATGATGTTTGAAGATAAGACGTATTATGAGGGAGAACTTGGCATTGGTGGAAGTTTCGCTGGTAAAGGGAGTCTTCATTATCCCAGCGGAGACACCATTGAAGGTACCTTCACTGGCAACTGGGAAGATGGTATCAAGATAAATGGTATGCTGCAGAAAGGTGTTGGCTCTCCTGATGACGAAAACATACCCAAGTTAGTTTGAAACTTCATTTTTTTTTTTTTAATGAGCAGACAGGCAAATGTTCCTCATCTTACTTTCTTTTGCTTTGTAATTTCACCAACCAAATCAGAAATATTACAAAGGGTTTAGTACTTATTTTTTAACACATTTGCTGTCTCCAACTGAGGTAGGGTGACCCTCCAAAAAAAAAAAAACTTTTTTACCATCATTGTCTTTCCAGAGGTGGGCTAGTACTATAGTTCTAATCTGAAAATATCCTCACCCCTCCATCAGAGTGCAGGCACTGTACTTCACACCTCCAGGACTCAAGTCTGGCTAACTGGTTTCCCAAAATTCCTTCATAAATGTTATTCACTCACATTCCAAAAGCATGTCAAGTCATAAAAAACCACTTGCCTCCATTCAGTCCTGTCTAACATGCTCACATATGCTGGATGTCCACAAAACCTCCTTTACCTTCTCCCTTCAACCTTTTCTAGGATGACCCTACCCTTCTTTTTAAAAAATAATAATAATATTTTTTTTCAACACAGTAGCTGTATCCCACAAAAGGTAGGATAACCTAAAAAAAAAAAAAGTTTTTCTTTTTAAATTTAGTAATTTATGCAGGAGAAGGGGTTACTAGCCCCTTGCTCCCAGCATTTTAGTTGCTTCATGTGACACACATGGCTTATGGAGGAAGAATTCTTTTTCACTTCCCCATAATAATAATAATAATAATAATAATAATAATAATCCTAGGTAGTAGGTTGATAGACAGCAACTGCCCAGGGAGGTACTACCATTCTGCCAAGTGAGTGTAAAACTGAAGCCTGTAATTGTTTTACATGATGGTAGGATTGCTGGTGTCTTTTTTTTTTTGTCCCATACACATGCAAGATTTCAGGTACATCTTGCTACTTCTACTTACACTTAGGTCACACTACACATACATGTACAAGGATATATATACACACACCCCTCTGGGTTTTCTTCTATTTTCTTAATAGTTCTTGTTCTTGTTTATTTCCTCTTATCTCCATGGGGAAGTGGAACAGAATTCTTCCTCCGTAAGCTATGCGTGTTGAAAGAGGCGACTAAAATGCCAAGAGCAAGGGGCTAGTAACCGATTCTCCTGTATATATTACTAAATGTGAAAGGAGAAACTTTTGTCTTTTCTTTTGGGCCACCCCGCCTCGGTGGGATACGGCCAGTGTGTTGAAAGAAGAAAGAATATAATAATAATAATAATAATAATAATAATAATAGAATTGATGAGGGGAAAAGAGTGAGTGGTGCACTTAGGCATCTGTGGAGACAAAGAACTTTGTCCTTGGAGGCAAAGAGGGGAATGTATGAGAGTATAGTTTTACCAACGCTCTTATATGGGTGTGAAGCATGGGTGATGAATGTTGCAGCGAGGAGAAGGCTGGAGGCAGTGGAGATGTCATGTCTGAGGGCAATGTGTGGTGTGAATATAATGCAGAGAATTCGTAGTTTGGAAGTTAGGAGGAGGTGCGGGATTACCAAAACTGTTGTCCAGAGGGCTGAGGAAGGGTTGTTGAGGTGGTTCGGACATGTAGAGAGAATGGAGTGAAACAGAATGACTTCAAGAGTGTATCAGTCTGTAGTGGAAGGAAGGCGGGGTAGGGGTCGCCTAGGAAAGGTTGGAGAGAGGGGGTAAAGGAGGTTTTGTGTGGCGAGGCGCTTGGACTTCCAGCAGGCATGCGTGAGAGTGTTTGATAGGAGTGAATGGAGACAAATGGTTTTTAATACTTGACGTGCTGTTGGAGTGTGAGCAAAGTAACATTTATGAAGGGGTTCAGGGAAACCGGCAGGCCGGACTTGAGTCCTGGAGATGGGAAGTACAGTGCCTGCACTCTGAAGGAGGGGTGTTAATGTTGCAGTTTAAAAACTGTAGTGTAAAGCACCCTTCTGGCAAGACAGTGATGGAGTGAATGATGGTGAAAGTTTTTCTTTTTCGGGCCACCCTGCCTTGGTGGGAATCGGCCAGTGTGATAATAATAAAAAAAAAAAATATTATGATAATAATAATAATAATCCTAGGTAGTAGGTTGATAGACAGCAACTGCCCAGGGAGGTACTACCATTCTGCCAAATGAGTGTAAAATGAAAGCCTGTAATTTTTTTACATGATGGTAGGATTCCTGGTGTCTTTTTTCTGTCTCATAAACATGCAAGATTTCAAGTAGATCTTGCTAGTTCTATTTGCATTAAGGTCACATTATACATGCATGTACTAGCATGTATATACAGACCCTTCTGGATTTTCTTCTATTTTACTTACTAGTTGTTGTTCTTGTTTATTTCCACTCGTCTCCATGGGGAAGTGGAACAGAATTCTTCCTCCATAAGCCATGCATGTCATAAGAGTCGACTAAAATGCTAGGAGCAAGGGGTTAGTAACCCCTTCTCCTGTATGCATTGCTAAAGTTAAAAAGAGAAACTTTTGTTCTTCTTTTTGGGCCACCCTGCCTCAGTGGGATACAGCCGGTTTATTGAAAGAATAACAATAATAGTGATAATAAAAACAGTGATTATGTGTGGGTGAGGTGAAAGTGTTGAATGATGATGAAAGTATTTTCTTTTTGGGGATTTTCTTTCTTTCTTGGGTCACCCTGCCTCGGTGGGAGACGGCTGACTTGTTAAAAAAAAAAAAAAAAAAATAATAATAGCAATAATAATAATGACAGTGATTATCCAGACTTGAGTCCTGGATCTTGGAAGTGGGAATGGTAGTGTCTGCACTTGGAAGTAGAGGGTGAGGATGTTGTAGCTAGAGAATAATCTGAGCTGTAATATTGGCACCTTTCTGGTAAGAGTCATTGAATGAATTATAGTGAATGTCATTTCTTCCTTGGATCACCCTGCCTGGGAAATATGAATTGTAATGTAAGTGCCCTTCTGGCAAAACATGATTTTATAAATGATGGTAAAAGTGCTTCCTCCTCTTTATTTTTTTTTTGGAGGGGTCACCCTACCTTGGCTTTTAAAAACTCAAGCTAGTTATAGATTAATAATAAAAAAAGAGATCAGGGTACAATAACTCTTTAACACAGTACAGTGGACCCCCGCATAACGATGGCATCACATAGCGATTAATCCGCATACCGCTTGCTTTAATCGCAAAAATTTTGCCTCACATACCGCTTAAAAACCCGCTTACCGATTTTCGTCCGAGACGCGTCCAGTGTGCGGCCTGAGCCACGCTCACATGTTCCGCCGGTGGCATTGTTTACCAGCCAGCCTCCGCGGTAACATCCAAGCATACAATCGGAATATTTCGTATTATTACAGTGTTTTCGGTGCTTTTTCTGGAAAATAAGTGACCATGGGCCCCAAGAAAGCTTCTAGTGCCAACCCTACAGCAATAAGGGTGAGAATTACAATAGAGATGAAGAAAAAGATCATTGATAAGTATGAAAGTGGAGTGCATGTCTCCGAGCTGGCCAGGTTGTATAATAAACCCCAATCAACCATCGCTACTATTGGTGGTACAGCTGCTGCTGCTGCTGCACTGTCAGCTGCTGCTGCTGCTGCACTGTCAGCTGCTGCTGCTGCTGTAGCACCGTTGTTGGTGTGGCTTATTGAAATACCAAGAAACAATTAACCCCAGAGGATTTGCCACCCAGGATAACCCAAAAAAGTCAGTGTCATCGAAGACTGTCTAACTTATTTCCATTGGGGTCCTTAATCTTGTCTCCCAGGATGCAACCCACACAAGTCGACTAACACCCAGGTGAACAGGGAAAAATGCCTGGAACTAGTGCTCATATTGGTGAATTTAAAGCCAGCAAAGGTTGGTTTGAGAGATTTAAGAATCGTAGTGGCATACACAGTGTGATAAGGCCTGTTCTGGAAGAAAATGCCAAACAGGACCTACAGTACTCAGGAGGAAAAGGCACTCCCAGGACACAGTGTCTCATCAGTCATTGCTGCATCTTCAATAAAGGTAAGTGTCATTTATTCTTCATTTAGTAGACTAGTACATGCACAATATATATTGTGCATGTACTACTCTACTATTGTGCATGTATCCTTCTCTTTGTGTGTGGGAAAATGTATATTTCATGTGGTAAAAATTTTTTTTTCATACTTTTGGGCGTCTTGCACGGATTAATTTGATTTCCATTATTTCTTATGGGGAAAATTCATTCGCATACCGATTATTTCGCATAACAATTACCCCTCTTGCACGGATTAAAATCGTTAACCGGGGGTCCACTGTATTTTATTGAACATACTGTTTTTGTTTTCTAATATCTCAACTACCATCTTCCACCCAGGCAGGGTGACCCTAAGAAGGAAACATGTTAACCATCATTCATTTATTCACTGTCTTGCCATAAATGTACTGATGTCACAATTCGAATTACCTTCCAACTGCAACATCCGTACGCCTCCTTCAGAGTTCAGACACTACCCTTTCTACCTTCAGGACTCAAGTCTGGTTACCCCATTTCCCCAAATTCCTTCATAAATGTTACCTTACTCAAACTCAAATACTCAGTTGTTAAGACTAATAATGTCAGGCATAATTTTTTATTCTGAATAGGGTCTTTTGTGCAAATGTTTTAAATGGAATAGTGTAAGAACATTAATTTAATTGGTGGGAGATGGTTAGTGTGTTAAAAATAAGTTCTGAATAATTGTAATTCTGGATAATTGACATTCTCATTGAGGTAGATGCGATAATAAAACAATTATGAGGTTAGAAGAGAATTGCATTTGAAATGCAATACATAGACTGAGCCATTGGATATTTATTTCTTGTATGGTGTCTTTTGTGACCTTCAAGGAATAGTTTTAAATAGAGGTTAGAATTACAGTTTACCTCCATGGGAAAGTGGAAAAGAATGTTTTCCCTGTAAGCCATGCAGGGAGACGGTTGTATGTTTAAAAAAAATAAATTACAGTTTAGTCATGTAAATCTAGTGCACACAAAAGAATGTATAAAGAGCCTATATGTTTAGAGTTTTAATGATTTAAGTAGGAAAAGTTGCATTCAGAGGAAGAAATTAAAATACAGTAATATAATTTCCACTGCTTTTTACTTAAACCTATCAGTTTTTTGTGGATTTTTTAACATTATATACTAAAGCATCTGGCAGTTTCATGCTATTTGCATCCTGCATGTTATTGCTGTACTGTATATTGCATTCATTTATCATGGATTTTGTATGGCTTAGGTCATTTGGCAAGTTCAGTGTAAGTGCTGATCAAAAGTGGATGGCAATTGTGCGTCAGTGCAAGGATCAGCTGGGCATTTCTACTGGAATTGAGGTGTCTACAGCCAAAGTAAGTTTGGGTTTATATCAGCTTTGCTGATTGTCTCTCATTTATCCTGTTTGTTGTGTAGCAAAGGCATTGTTGAATTTTTGCATTAATTTCTCTATTTTATGAATGAAATGATGTTCACTTGATCATAGAATGGGAAGTAAACAAGGGCTAAAATAAGGGATCAGTGGATTTCTCTTGAGGTTACTTATGTGGAAAATACTAAGAATAAATAACACTAGAGGAGTGCCATAGTAGACCTACTGGTTTATGCTTGGCACATCGTGTTTACACCCAAATGTTCTTACTTGCACATCTAACCGGTTTTTAAAAATCACCCCAGAGTATTTTCTTGCTGATGCTTCCTGACAGTTTGTTCCACTCATCAAAAATTCTACTGCCAAGCCAACACTTTTTACATCATTTCTGAATCTTAATTTTTTTTTCAACACATCAGCTGCTTCCCAGCGAGGCATGGTGACCCAAAAAGAAAGAAAAAACTTTCATTATCATCATTCAACACTTTCACCATCACTCATACATAATCACTGGCTTCGCAGAGGTACTCAGATACAACAGTTTAGACGTTCCTTCAAACTGCCAGTATCCCAAACCCCTCCTTTAAAGCGCAGGCATTGTACTTCCCATTTCCAGGACTCAAGTCCGGCCTTACCAGTTTCCCTGAATCCCTTTACAAAATATTACCCTGCTCATACTCCAACAGCTCGTCAGGTCCCAAAAATTATTCATCTCCATTCACTCCTATCTAGCATGCTCACGCACACTTACTGGAAGTCGAAGCCCCTCGCCCACCAAACCTTATTTACCTCCCTCCCCCCAATCTTTTCGGGGACAGCCCCTACCCCACTTTCCTTCTTCAATAGATTTATACGCTCTCCAAGTCATTCTACTTCGTTCCATTCTCTCTAAATGACCAAACCACCTCAACAGCCCCTCTTCAGCCCTCTGACTAATACTTTTAGCAACTCCATACCTCCTCCTAATTTCCACACTACAAATTCTCTGCATAATATTTACACCACACATTGCCCTTAGACACGACATCTCCACTGCCTCCAGCCACCTCCTTGCTGCAGCATTTACAATCCATGCTTCACACCCATATAAGAGTGTTGGTACCACTATACTTTCATACATTCCCTTCTTTGCCTCCATGGATAACATTCTTTGCTTCCACAGATACGTACCTCAATGCACCACTCACCTTTTCTTCTTCATCATTTCTGCAGTTTACCTCATCCTTCATAAACCCATCTGCTTACACATCAACTCCCAAATACCTGAAAACATTCACTCCTTCCATACTCCCTCCCTGCAATGTGATATCCAATTTTTCTTTGTCTAACTCGTTTGATACCCTCATCACCTTACTCTTATCTATATTCACTTTCAACTTTCTACCTTTACATACACTCTTAATTTGTTCATTTTAAATATATTGTTGCAAGTTTTGTCTTGGTTGAATACTCTCACTACCTTATCTATTTATCATTCATACACTTCATTCATGTTTCCCTCACTATATGCATCTTTATAATATAAGTCCAGTGCTCTTCAGCAGTTATTATTGGAAAGATTTTTAATATAGGAGATTAACATTGTTATCCTTGTTTAAATGTTTTGTAGTGCATTTATGTCCCTTCTGTAATACTGTACAGTTTTCTTGCTTGTTTTTCAAACTCTACTCACTCTTTTTATTTACCAGTATGTTTTTTTATGTGATCTACATGCACAACTTTTTTAATCAAATAGGATTCTAGGTTTCAAAGCTAGAAATTTAAAGTAAAAATGTTCCACAGCAATTTTAACAATTTATTTTTTAGTTGACACCTTAAATAACCTGGCCAATACTGGTCCCCAAGTTTTGTAAAAGATGATGATAAGTTAGAGAGGTTACAGAGAAGGGCAGCAAAATTTGTATCTTTAAGAAAGAACTGTATGCAGAAAGATTTAAAACACTTAACCTGTTTTCACCTATAAAACTGACACTGCAGATTCAAGGTGATAAAATAACACAAAATAATAGAATAAACTCTAGTAACTGCGCTTCTCTGAAAAGGCAGTGATTATGTGTGAATGATGGTGAAAGCTTTTTGAAATGTCATTGCTTTCTATCTGGAAGATCGTGTTGTGTTATCCATCTAATACATTGCCTGTATGTACATACAGTACTCTGTACTGTGTATGATGTTTACAAAAAATATTGTGTCAACAATAACCATTACAAAGATTTTTTGTTGCACTGGCAGGTGTGGGAAATATTAGCCACCAGGTTGGAGACAGAGAAGCAGGCAGCTCTGCGTCACAGTGCTCAGCTAGATGTGTTGGATGGCATCGATCGCATACCTGAAAGAAAAGGCGAACTCACATATCGATACTTCATGGAAATTCACTTTTATTTAGGCAAGGTAATAAAATATTAGCTTGTTATATAATTAACTCTTTGTAGCTAGAGGAGCAGAGCCATTCTCATGGTCCCCTTTGTCTTGCAATAATTAATTCATATTCTAAATTTTTAATGATTGTAGCACTTATCTATGCTTTAATCCATTCCTTTCCATTATTCCACTACTATGAAAATATGTGGGTGACTGTAAACCCGTTACTGTCTGTGTAAGTGTACCACATATTCCTTTGGTACTTGTGAGGAGTCCCAATTCTTTCTGTCCCAGGCTCTCATCAGATATAGGAATACTGTATTGAGAATTATCTTGGTTGCTTAAATTTAAAAACCATCAGCTTGTATTATTGGCAGTAAGATGGTTACTTGTTATAAGATTTAGAAAACCATCAACTTGTCTTAGAAACAGTAAGAGAGCTCAATTTGTATCTTGGATATTAGCCTTGGTAGGCTTGTTTTCCATTAGTAGTATGTATTTTATGCATATACAGATTATCATCATGCACAGACAAACCACTCATAGCTCACGCTTATGTAGCGCATTTTTTTAATAGAATGCTGTTCATATTTTTTTTATACACTAGGCATCTCCCACTGAGGTAGGGTGACCCGAAAAAAAAGAAACACTTTCACCATTACTGAGTTCATTGCCGCCTTGCCAGAGGCATGCCAACATTACAGCTCAGATATCCCTCCAAATAGCAATATTCCTGTCAGAGTGCATGTACTGTACTTTCCACCTCTGGGACTCAAGTTCTGTTAATTGGTTTCCCCGAATCCCTTCATATTTATATTCTGCAATGTTAGAATGCGGCTTTTACCTGTTATCAAGCTTTTATATGCATTTGAAAGTGAAAAACGGCTGTGTTTCAATTTACAACAATTTTTGCTTTACACCAATAGCCCAGAACCAAACCTGCTGTATAAGTGGGGCCCTTCTGTACTTTATAAAGCAACATTGTGGGTGAAACATCATATAATGAAGGTTTTTTCTGCTAAGAATGTCTTTGAAATTACCACTTGTCATCGTACACCATTATCTACCAAATTTGGAGGTGTCTAGAAAGTAACCCGGTATTTTATGTATCATGATTTTTCAGGAATGTAAATTTTGTTATAAGTTTTACTGTAATTTAATAATTGCTGTTATTTAGCCATTTTATTTAAGGAATTACTGTACTAATGTGCAGGTGTATTATTTGTTCCTACTGATTTGAAGAGATTACAAAAGGTTTATTTTTTTCCAAAGGCATTTGGAAGTCGGTTGCATCCTTTAGGACAGCTGTTGCAGTTGTTGGTTGATGCCTTCAGAGCTACCTATGGTGGAGTTGTAGCTCACCCGCGCCTTCTGCCATATGCTGTGCAAGAGGTTTGTTAATTCAGGTGTAAATTTGCTGTTTGCTTAGAGTTTTTTGTATTACAGATACCATTGTAATGTACTTCTTGAGTGGCACACATCGCTCTTCTTATTCTGAATTTATGTATAGTGTTAAAAATTTTTGGTTCACAGGTGCGTTCCTTCACCTCAAGATTATACCAATTGGTACGGGTGTTATTTCCAGATTTACCAAGAGAGGATGAAAATGTTTTGTTGGAGCCAGATATGGAAGACCAAGAAGAAATGTGAGTTACACATTGTATTGTATGTGATGAAGCTGGAATGAGGTTATTCTGTTGTATATTACATTACAGGCAGCCTTCACTTTACAACATTAGCCCAGAACCTAACCTGCTGTATAAGTGGGGCACCCTGTATTTTCTGTATGTTGTAGCTTTATCATTGGTACTGAAAGATATTCTGCCCACACATTGAGCCTTGTCAAGTCATGCAAGAAGTGATGGGCCATTATATACAGGTGAAGAAGTGATGTCAGGTGTCATCAGTGGGTGTGATCTCAGCGCAAGACGGTGCTACCTGAAGGATATTAATGGATGTCAAAATCACCTGTAGGGTTTTCCCATGCTAGTTGAGTTTAGCTAATGGGTTGATAGTATTAAATCTACATATCTTGATTCTGTTCTGTAATGTTGGACTGCTGTATGATTGCTGATTGAAAATATCTTTGGTTTTCCTTAACCCTTTTATGATGAATGGTTTTGAAAACCGACAAGTTGAAGATGAGACACTTATGCAGCATATAGGAATCTTTATTTAGGAAACGTTTTGCCACACAGTGGCTTCATCAGTCCATCAGCTCTATGCTGTACATTCTACAAGATTGATGGACTGAACACATCGACTCAAGGCTGAGGGACTGATTACCTCAAACTACTCCTCTCCTTACACCCTTCTGCTTTGTATTGGACTGATGAAGCCACTGTGTGGCGAAACGTTTCCTAAATAAAAATTCCCATATGCTGCATAAGTGTCTCAATCTTGAACCCTTTTATATATTAGTCAGTGTGTGCCATTGTCCATTTATCCTCCAGTTTACCTTACTTGGGTGAAATTACAAAATTGGTCTACAGTTGATGGTTTAGTATTAGAGCTAATAACTGTATCCACTGCAGCACATAACCACTGGAAAAGAGATGAGTACTTGCATAATCATTACAGAGTGGTGACCCCAGCCTTCGTGATTCATCCCTGGCTGCTTCCCCATGTATATTCTCCACTGTCTACACTGTATGTCCTCCACCACCAGCCTAAGGATGAGGAGTATTGGAGGAGGCTGCTCAAGTGGAACAAACAGCCAGACACTGCTCTCATGACATTTTTAGGAGTTGATGTGTGAGTAAAACTGCTTTAAATTTTGATATTGTTTTATGAACTCTGATTTAAATTTTTATATTGATTTTATAGTTACAGTTTATATCAGTGACATGTAATGTTTATAAAGAATCAATAGAGGTTTTGGCGGGAATACTTATTTGTTTATAAATGGAGGGGGTAAAGGAGGTTTTGTGTGCGAGGGGCTTGGACTTCCAGCAGGCATGCGTGAGCATGTTTGATAGGAGTGAATGGAAACAAATGGTTTTTAATACTTGACGTGCTGCTGGAGTGTGAGCAAAGTAACATTTATGAAGGGGTTCAGGGAAACCGGCAGGCCGGACTTGAGTCCTGGAGATGGGAAGTACAGTGCCTGCACTCTGAAGGAGGGGTGTTAATGTTGCAGTTTAAAAACTGTAGTGTAAAGCACCCTTCTGGCAAGACAGTGATGGAGTGAATGATGGTGAAAGTTTTTCTTTTTCGGGCCACCCTGCCTTGGTGGGAATCGGCCAGTGTGATAATAAAATAAAATAAATAAAAATAGAAATAATATAGAAATAAATTGCATTGTGTGTTATAATAATTATTTTTTATAAGCATTATTATTATGTGTGAATGATGGTAAAAGTGTTACTTTCTTTTTTGAGTCACCTTGCCTCTGTGGGAGACGGCCGGCATGTTGAAAAAAAAAAGATTATGTTAAACACTTAATGAACGCTTGATCTTCTCCCTAATCAGGCTTATACCTTGGTGTCTGAAAGATTGTATATTGTTCAGTACCGTCAATATAAAATCAGAAACTGTTTCTTTTTGCTGCAGTAAGTTTTGGTTGCCGGAAGGAGCCACCATTATGGAGTGTAGCCGCACATTGGGCATGGTAAAAGACCAACATTTTACAGAAGCTATTGAAACACTTCAGATGCTGTCAACATCATTTAGTCCACGGGATAAGTTAAAACTCATTCATCGTACCTTCCAGCAAGTTAGCAAGGTAAGCAAGTTGGTTAATTACAAGAACAGATAATTAAGAAAAAAGCTGTATCATTTGGTTTGCAATATAGCAGTCAAGTACATCATTTTTTTAAAAAAGCTGTGCTTTACGTATTCTTGCTTTCATTGTTTACTCAAATTACTTGTTTAGAAACTTGTACATTTACACTTCCTTGGGTCCCTGATATTCACAAACCTAATTAAATGTGAGATTTGAAAAATTGTCATCTCAACTCCAGGGGCAGTTTGTTTGAGGCACTGTAGATGGTAATAGCAAATTTAGTATTGTAACCATGACAGAAAATGACTTAAAAGGTATAGTTTTCTTTTTTACACAACCATCTGTCTCCCACCAAAGTAGTGTGACCCTACAAAAGAAAGAAACACTTTCACCTTCATTCATGCAGAATCACTGTCTTTGCAGAGGTATGCAGATGTAACAGTTCAGATGTCACTCCAAACAGCAAATATCCCAAACCCCTCCTTTAAAGTGCAGGCATTGTATTTTCCACTTCCAGGACTCAAGTTCAGCTAATCAGTTTCCTTGAATCCCTTCACAGAACATTACCCTGCTGACACTCCAACAGCATGTTGAGTGACAAAAACCATTCATCTCCATTCATTCCTATCTAACACTCACATATGCCTGCTCTATGTCCATGCCCCTTGCACACAAATCTTCTTTTACCCCATCCCTCCATCCATTCTTAGGACAACCCCTACCCCTCCTCCCCTCCACTACAGATTTATGCACCCTCTAAGTCATCTTATTTTGCTCCATCCTCTCTAAATGACCATACCACCTCAACAACCACTCCTCAGCCCTCAGTATAATACTTTTAGTAACTCCACACCTCTTAATTTTGACACTGAATTCTCTGCATATATTTACACCACACATTGCCCATAGACACAACATCTCCACTGCCTCCAGCATCCTTCTCACTGCAGCATATATAGCCCATGCTTCACACTTATATAAGAGTGTTGGTGGCACTATACTCTCACACATTACCTTCTTTGCCTCCATGGACAATGTTCTGTCTCCACAGATACCTCAGTGTACCACCCACCTTTTTTTCTTCATCAATTCTATGGTTTACCTCATCCTTCATAAACCCATCCACCGACAAGTGTACTCCCAAATTTTTTTTTTTCAACATGTTGGCTGTCTCCCACTGAGGCAGGGTGACCCAAAAAGAAAGAAAATCCCCAAAAGAAAATACTGTCATCATCATTCAACATTTTCACCTCACTCGCACATAATCACTGTCTTTGCAGAGGTGCCCAGATACAGCAGTTTAGAAGCTTATATAAAGAGATATAACATACCAGTCCAAACTGCCAATATCCCAAACCCCTCCTTTAAAGTGCAGGCATTGTACTTCTCATTTCCAGTACTCAAGTCCGGCTATATAAAAATAACCAGTTTCTCTGAATCCCTTCACTAAATATTACCTTGCTCAAACTCCAACAGCTTGTCAGGTCCCAAATGCCATTTGTCTCCATTCACTCCTATCTAACATGCTCACACATGCTTGCTGGAAGTCCAAGCCCTTCACCCACAAAACCTCCTTTACCCCCTCCAACCTTTTTGAGGACAACCCCTACCCCGCCTTCCTTTCCCTACAGATTTGTATGCTCTCCAAGTCATTCTACTTTAATCCATTCTCTCTAAATGAGCAAACCACCTCAATAACCCCTCTTCAACCCTCTGACTAATACTCCCAGATATCTAAACATATTCTCTTCTTCCATACTCCCTCCCTCCAATGTGATATCCAATTTTTCTTTACCTAGCTCGTTTGATACCCTCATCACCTTACCCTTATCTATGTTCACTTTCAGTTTTCTTCCTTTACACACCCTCGCAAACTCGTCCACTAACCTTTGCAACTTCTCCCAAAAGCACAGTGTCATCAGCAAAAAAGTGACTGTGTCGACTCCCATTTTGCATTTGATTTCTTATAATTTAATCCTACCCCTCTTCCCAACACCATAAATAATCTTTTAGGGATTATTTGCCAAGGCTCATGTATTGAGTTTACCCTTACTATCTTCAGTACTTCATTTAAACATCAGCTGTTACTAATCACTTTTATTTTAACATTATCTTTGCTCTCCTCAGGCTGTGATGAACAAGCTGGGTAACGATTACTTGTGGAGTATGGATGACCTCTTCCCGGTTTTCCAGTATGTTGTGGTGAGGTCCCGCATACAGCATCTGGGAGCTGAGATTCAACTAGTGGATGATTTGCTAGATCCCCACATGCAGCATGGAGAGTTGGGCATAATGTTCACAACCTTAAGAGTAAGTCATTCAGGAATTTTATGCAATTGGTACATTTATAGAAAGACAATTAGGAAAAGAGTGATGGTGAATGTATTTCCTTTTTTGGGCCACCCTGCTCTGATGGGAAATGGCAAATGTTTAAACTAAAATGGGTAATAAAGATGTAAGTCATCGTACAATGCATATTTTTTTCCTCCAACAAACCGACCATATCCTACCGAGGCAGGGTGGCCTAAAAAGAAAAACGAAAGTTTCTCTTTTTGAATTTAGTAATGTATACAGGAGAAAATGTTACTAGCCCCCTTGCTCCCGGCATTTTAGTAGCCTCTTGTAACACGCATGGCTTATGGAGGAAGAGTTCTGTTCCACTTTTCCCATGGAGAGTTTACTACTCATAGCTTGTTACTGTGTGTGCTGAAGGTATAGATAAATAGCTTATATATTGATAAATTTATTTTTATATCCTTTATAATATTCATGTAGTTTTCATTTCTTCTTTTTTTTTTCATAGGCATGCTACTACCAGATCCAGAATGAGAAACTCAATCACATGGTATGATGAAACTATTTTTTGGCCTTTTATGATAAATTTTCACCGGTTGTTGGAAAGAACTGTAAATTATCTCCACCACAGTGCCCTCCAGTTTATTTTTGTTACTGCCTACTATATCAGTCCTTGAACAGATGTTCAAGAACATGAGTCTCTGTACTCAAGATAAAGATATTCTTCAGCTCTTGTGTCATGTCAGTATGTTGTTTATGTTAAGGCAGTCAAGAGTTCATTCTTGTCAGTATTAAATGGAAGAGTTATACAGTAGGACCTTATTTATCTGAATATCAGTAAGCTGAAATCTCCAGTCAAATGTAAAATGTCACTAGTGCCAGTTCATGCTCTAACCCTGAAAAGCTTTCATTATCCAAAACTGACATCCTTTAACAGTTTTCAAACAGCCAGAATATAGTCAGACATCGTATCTTGTCAAGCTTTGCATAGAGTATGCTTTAATAATGAGTGATTGCTTATTGGCAGTATTATTCTGTACCTTGTCTGTGTGTTGGCAGTTGTGATAAAACAGCAGAAGGGGAATTTTTTTTATAGAAAACTTTAGTGGATTTCCTGGGAAGTGTTGAAATATTAGCTCTTTTTCTAAGTTGGGTACCTGGGTGAAGTTGAAATATTAGCTCTTTTTCTAAGTTGGGTACCTGAGTGAAATTCCACAAATATTTTGCTAAATAGACACTTCATTTCTACCCAGACACGATATAAATTACTTACATTTTTTTTTTTTCAATATCCCACTGAGGCAGGTAACCTAAAAAGAAAAACAAAAGTTTGGTCAGACAGCATGCCTCTGTCAATTAGACATATCATATTTTCTGTAACTTCTTGGAAGTGCCAGTACTGATATAGAAAGTGTTAAGAGACAGACAAGCAGTAATAATGATTCAAGTAGTGGGACTCAGTAAGGTTACCATAACAACTCCAATATGCCCTAAGTCTCAACCATTTCAGATAAGTAAGATCCTACTGTTTGGTCAAAATGGTGATATTATCTACGACTTAAAAGTTTAAATGCAGATTAGTTCGTGTTGGGAATGTTTTGAGTACACATCAGAATCTTGCCCTAATATGTTACAAGTGTATAATATATTTAGCATGAAATCAAACCTATTAGAAAGAGATATTGTAAATTAATATATCTGACCAATTTTTTTTTCTATTATAGCACACTAACTTTGGTACAAACATATTGCTGTATAAACTTCTTTATATCTCGAGCTTAGACAGTCACTGTTGGTTCTTAGCGAGAGTGTTTACTAAATAAACCTAGTACCCTATAATATGAGGCAGATTCCTATAATGTATGAAGTGTGAGATTGAAACATGAATCCTATGTGTGCAATATGATTAAAACCAAAATCATGTGTGTGAGGATTAGGAAGGAAACCTTCATCCTGTATGAGGAATAGGACTTTAATCAGCATTATATATTGTAATGTGTGAGGTGTAGGCTTGAAACTGTCATACAATGTGTGAGGTGTAGGACTGAAACTAACATATCATAATAGATGAGGTGCAGAAATCAGAGGCAGAGCTGATTCCATTTTTTTTTTTTTTTTTTACATGACACTGGTTGTTTCCCACCAAGGTCTGATGTGGTAACAAGAAAGCTGGAATCATTTCTGCACTCTTGATTGTTGCACCTCAAACATTATGCTATGTTAGTTTAATTTTTACACTTTGCATGTTATGTAATGGTGGTTTCTTTCTTTTTTTGTGTGTGTGTGTTGATAAATGACTCCAGGTACCTCAGGCACTGTTGAGTGAGTCGTGTTGTAGACGCTGATATTAATATCGTTTTGCGCTATTAAACAGTACTATACTGTACTGTAGTAGTAGCTTCAGGCAAATGGAACATCCTTCACAGAGATGTGCAGGATAACTTTAATTTTGACAGAAAATATGTTGTAGTTAAATTGTGCACATTTAAAATGTGAGAGTTCACCAAATGACTATTTTCAGTTTATTGCAGTGATGCCGTGCTTTTCAGCCAGAATAAACAAACAATCCAGATTCTTTTTATAGTACTTTATAATTTTTTCTTGATAATTATGAGAATTAACATATGTAGATTTAAAATTTTGCCCCAAATCTCTCTTATGTTATATGCATTGGTAGTACTGTACAATATAGATTAATCTTACGTAACTTATCTAAGGTCTGCCTAATTTTAGTTATCATTGTTCTACATATATAGCACCTGTTTTTCCGTGTTCCATGTTTTCTTTGTCTTTCAATTGAGCCATTGTTCCACCCACAGGTGGCTATCACCAGCAGGTGGAACATAATGAGCAGTGGCTCAACTTGAAGCCAATGAAAATGTGGAACACTGAGAAAAAGTGCTGTATATGCAGGGGCCTTCCTGTATATTAATTTTGTAACGTTCTCATTTTTCTTTTTTGCTCAGTCTGAGAAAATAATCATTGCCAAATAATCAAGTCATTGCTCTTTGGCTAAAGCATGGCAGTAATGTACAGTTCAAATTTAGGCAGGGCCCTTCCATCCAGTCTCCCTGTTTCTTTTATCAGTTGCTTGTTGACATTTATGTGATAATACATTTAAACATGCAACTTTCCATACATTTTTAAAGTAGTGTGCATGCTTTGGTGAATGTATTTTTTTATAGTATTTCATTTATTACACTTGTACCTCAATAAATGTAATCAATTCCTGAAGTAACTTATTGTTTTGGCTGATGGGTCTTAAGCAATATGAAGAGCAGATTCACATTTTCTTTTGCCAGCAAAGTGGGGTATTATTCATGTTTACTCATGACAAACTTGGTCAGTATGCAAACATTCTCTTCTGTTTTTGATATGAGATTATATCTTGACACTTGAACTTAAGTGGCAATGTGAACAAGCTGTTTAAAGAGAGTTCACCATCGTCACTGTGTATTATAGAAGTGTCATATTGACATGTAAGTGTATTAATATTATAGTGATGCTGTTTATTTGCTTACAGGGTATATACAACATTTGTTGTATTCATTTTTAAATCAAGTTTATATGATATCTTACCAAGAAACTATTTGAAAATAAATTGATCTAACCTGAATGATGCAGTATTCTGGCTGCAGTCATGTGATGTATGAATTCAAGAACATCGGCTATCTCCTGAATTTTATGTTGATGAGGTAGCCACTTGGTGCACATAAAAAGGACAGATGTCTTTCTCAGAAAATTATGTTGACATTACCTGTGTTGTGCATATTGTGATAACTGTTAATGATAATATCCATTTTTTTTTTTTTATATGTTGATTTGTGTGACATACTCTGTATTGGGTTATGGAACCTTTTGGATGTTTTCATGTAGGAATGATCAGTGTGTAGTGTTCACTCATTCTGTTTCTCAAAGCTATGTTAAATCTTCATCTGTTCATTTTTCTATGTACAGTATACAGTAAACCCCTGCTTAATGAGCATAGACATAATTTGAAAAAATGACCCAAAGAAGCCTAGGGCATTTCCCTGCACTTCACAACCTCCCTCTCTCATACAATGAGCAGTTTCCAGGCTGCTGATTGCCCTCTTTCACCCCCTCCCCCCATTTCCCCTCTTCTGCTCATAAAATAAACAGATAAATTTTTTAAATACCAGTCCATTATTTATCACTGGTAGTTATAGGTCTTCCCAGATAGGTTTGAATAAGCTATTTCTTGAAAAATGATGTGGTGATACTGACAAGATGTGGAAAAAGACACTTAGGTACAGTTCAGGACTGTACGTAAGTGTCTGTTTCCACAAGCTGTTTCCTACATTAGCAATCAACACAGTGTTTCCATATCCTCTGCATCATCAGTTAAAATGTGAGGAAATGGGATATTTATTTACAGTATAAATTCCTTAAAGACTAGAGTTATGGGTTCTAATCACATCTGGGAGAGGAATTATGCCTATGACAGTGTTATACTATATTCTGTACCTCCATTTTTTCCCCCTCCCTCCCTTCCCTTCCCTTGTTTTATCATCACATAAAATTCTTGTGAATATAAATTGCAAAATTCCAGAAAAGTATAAAAAGAATGACCAAAATATAAAAAAAGTAATCAGGAAACATTGCTTTGTATATTTGTTATTGTTTCATTGAAAGGATGACAGCCCAGGGAGCTGTGATGGTGTAAGGGCCATCACAACCCTTTAATTCATCAGTAATAAAGCAAAGTGATGTATTTTAAATATGTTTCTTATTATTTTTTCACAATCATTGTGTAATGCACTCATGAATTGAACCAATCTCTAGCAAGTATATTTTGTTGAAATTTCAACATAGAAAAAGCTAATAGGAATCAGATATGAAAAATTATTGTCCTAGTCCCCATTTCAACTTAAAGCGTGGATTCTGTGGGAAAATGCAACTCGCTAAACATTTTCATTGTTTCCTATCTTGTTCAGTAAGTGGGAGGTTGACTGTATCATTTTCCTGTCTTTAGTATTATGTTAAAAAAGAGAAGGCATTCAACACTGACTAGGTAATGCATTGTCTATGTTGCCTTAGTTAAAAAATGATATAAACAAAAGAAGACCTTTTATTATTATAATATTTCACCTGCAAGAGGATTTCTCAATCACATAAAGAATGCAAAACTTTGATATATTGTAGGTGCTCGTTGACTTACAATGGGGTTACATTCCAATGAACCTATCATAATATTGTAAGTCAAATATGAATACATGACATAAATAAGTAAATAATTACTGTCACTGAATGAGTAAATAATGAAATAATTACTGTAACTAAATACCTGTATTGAAAAGTAAATAAATGAATACAAGTTTATCCTCCTAGGTAGTAGGTTGGTAGACAGCAACCGCCCAGGGAGGTACTACCATCCTGCCACGTGAGTGTAAAACGAAAGCCTGTAATTGTTTTACATGATGGTAGGATTGCTGGTGTCCTTTTTTCTGTCTCATGAACATGCAAGATTTCAGGTATGTCTTGCTACTTCTACTTACACTTAGGTCACACTACACATACATGTACAAGCACATATATACACACCCCTCTGGGTTTTCTTCTATTTTCTTTCTAGTTCTTATTCTTGTTTATTTCCTCTTATCTCCATGGGGAAGTGGAACAGAATTCTTCCTCCGTAAGCTATGCGTGTTGTAAGAGGCAACTAAAATGCCGGGAGCAATGGGCTAGTAACCCCTTCTCCTGTATATATTACTAAATTTAAAATGAGAAACTTCTGTTTTTCTTTTTGGGCCACCCTGCCTCAGTGGGATACGGCCGGTGTGTTGAAAGAAAGAAAATTTATCCTATCAATAAGTGTGCAGTACTGTACAATACAGACTGTTCTTCACTATCGCATTATTGTAAAGTTGAAGTCATAAATCAAACCATTGTAAAGCAAGGAGCATCTGTATACAGTTATGCATTGCTAGGCAATTTCACTCTTGTATGAACATCATAGTGTGTACTTATACAAACCTAGATGGTATAGATTTGCTTGTAAGCAGATAATGCACCATGAATATTCCTCTCTGTTAATGAAAACCTTTCGGTGTTAGGGTCTGTGTTTTCAAACTTTTTAAGGAGCTTGTTGAGGTCTACAAAAGTTTCTGCTAAAAACTTCACTGTGAATTTTCTTTGGGGGTTTTCTTTTTCTTCTCCTGCAGGGGCCATGATGAACAAAACAACACGAGATTAAATCAACCACAAATGATGCTATCAAGAGACGCAGTAAACATGAGATGTATGAGGCTGCTGCCGGTATAACACAGCATACTGTTTTACAGTAAACCTTTTTTATAAGTACAAAGAATATACTCCAGAATAACAATAAAAAGTACTGTGTAGTAAATACATAAACCAGTGACATAGTTGTTTATTATCATTATCAAGTATTTACTGTACATGATTGTTTGTGCTATACTTTTATATGACTGGCAGTGCAGTAGGATTGTTTACACCACTGTCGTATATGTGGTCCGTCATTAATCGAAACATTGTCATGTGGTGCATGGCTGTATAGTGCTGAAAGGTAGACACATCAGATGTTGGTCAGAGGTGAGGTCAGGTATAGGTAAGGTGTCTGGCTACAGAGGTCAGGTAATGTTGGGTGAGGTCTGGCCTGAGGGGCCAGGTCTTATACTCTGTGCTTCCTGTATTGTTCCAAAATTATTTTTGCAATGGGCTTTTGTTATTGCAAAACAACACTGTAAGCACGAATTATCAGAACTTGGACACACTGTCCAGACCTTATTCAGTTACCTGACCTCTGTGGCTAGACACCTCATCTACAACTGACCTTATCTTTCAGCACATGTGTACACTCAGGCGTGCACGCATACACTCATGCACATGCAGACAAGCATGCACACACACAGTCAAACACTCAAACAAACATACTCACATTTTTAACACACTGGCCATCTCCCACTGAAGCAGGATAATCCAGAAAAGAAGAAACACTTTCACCATCATTCACTCCATCACTGTCTTGCCAGAGGTGTGCTGATACTCCAGTTCAGATGCCCTTCCAAGCTTACCTTGAGAGTGCAGGCAATGTACATCTCACTTTTAGGACTCAAATCTAGCTAAAAGGTTTCTCAGAATCCTTTCATAAATGTTACCATACTCAAACTCCAGCAGCATGTCAAGTCATAAAAACCACTTGCCTCCATTCACTCCCATCACACTCGCATACTTCTGTTAAATGTCCAAGCTCCCGCATACAAGACTTTACCCCCCCCCTTCCTACAACCTTTCCTAGGACATTTGCTACTCCTTCCTTCCGCTAGATTTATACATCCTTCAGGTCATATTTTGCTCCATCCTCTCTAAGTGTCTATTTTTTTTTATTTTATTAACACATTGGCCATTTCCCACCAAGGTAAGGTGACCCAAAAAAGAAAAACTTGCATCATCATTCACTCCATCACTGTCTTGCCAGAGGCATGCTTACACTACAGTTATAAAACTGCAACATTAACACCCCTCCTTCAGAGTGCCAGCACTGTACTTCCCATCTCCAGGAATCAAGTCCTGCCTGCCGGTTTCTCTGAATCCCTTCATAAATGTTACCTTGCTTACACTCCACCAGCATGTCAAGTCCTAAAAACCATTTGTCTCCATTCGCTCCTATCTAACACGCTTACGCATGCTTGCTGAAAGTCCAAGCCCTTCGCACACAAAACCTGCTTTATCCCCTCCCTCCAGCTTTTCCTAGGCCGACCCCTGCCCCATCTTACCTCCACTACAGATTTATACACACTCAAAGTCGTTCCAACTTCTCTACATGTCCAGACCAACTCAATAACCCCTCCTCAGTCCTCTGAATAAAGTTTTGGTAATCCCACACCTCCTCTTAATCTCCAAACTACAGATTCTCTGCATTATACTCACACCATACATTGCCCTCAGACATGACATCTCCACTGCCTCCAGCCTTCTCCTTGTTGCAACATTCACAACCCATGCCTCACACCATATAAGAGTGTTGGTATAACTATACTCTCATAGATTCCTCTCTTTGCTTTCATAGATAATGTTTTGTCTCCACAGACTCCTCAGTGCACCACTCGCCTTTTTCCCCCTCGTCAATTCTATGATTCACCTCATCCTTCATAGACCCATCTGCTGACACGTCCACTCCCAAATATCTGAACACACTCACCTCCTCATTACTCTCTCCCTCCAATTTGATATCCAATCTTCTGTTACCTAAGTTTTTTGTTATCCTCATCGCCTTACTCTTTCCTATATTCACTTTTAATTTCCTACTTTTACATACCCTACCAAACTCATCAACCAGCCTCTGAAACTTTTCTTCAGAATCTCCCAAAAGCACAGTGTCATCAGCAAAGAGCAACTGTGACAACTCCCACTTTGTGTTAGATTCTTTATCTTTTAACCCCACACCTCTTGCCAACACCTGAGCATTCACTTCTCTTTCAACTCCATCTATAAATATATTGAACAACCATGGTGACATCACACATCCCTGTCTAAGGCCTACTTTTACTGGGAAGTAATCTCCCTCTCACCTACATACTCTATCCTGAGCCTCACTATCCTCATAAAAACTTTTCACCGCTTTCAGTAATCTACCTCCTATTCCATACATTTTCAACATCTGCCACATTGCTCCCCTATCCACCCTATCATATGCCACAATAACCCCCTCCTCAGCCCCTTGTATAATACTTTTAGTAACCGCACACCATCACCACATCCTCCTCCTCCTCCTCATCTCCAAACTACAGATTCTCTGCATAATATTTATGCCACACATTGCCTGCAGACATGTCATCTTTGCCTCTGGCCTCCTCTTTGCTACAGTGTTCAAAACTTGTGCTTCACACCCATATAAAAGTGTTGGCACTATTATACTCTCATACATTCCTTTTTTGCCTCCGTGGTTAACGTTCTTTGTCCCCACAAACACCTTGATGCACCACCCACTTTTTTTTCTTTTGTCAGTTCTATGGTTCACCTAATGTTTCAGAGACCCATCCATCAACAAGTTCGTTCCCAAATATCTGAACACATTCACTTCCTCCATACTCCCTCCTTCCAATCTGGTATCCAATTTTTCGTTACCTAAATTTTTTGTTACTTTCGTCACATTTCTCTTTCCTATGCTCGCTTTTAATTTCCTTAAAGAATAAATGTTTTATTTCTTTTCAAAGGTTACAAATGTGTAATTACAATTTTGGTTTGCTAAGTACAAAGAAAGCCACTGTTGTGCTGGGGCATTTTGGACGGACTAATCCTAGTACATAATAACTGCTTAAATCTAGATAAGATAAGAGTGGTTAACTTTTTAATAAATCTTTATTTAATCTGAGTACTAATGCAAGGTAGTCAAGGTGGAGGTTTATAAGAATAATAATCTTGAAGTTGCACATAAAAACAATATTACAATTAATGGTTCAGACAGTAATATCTCATGGATTGGCAGATGTTTAATAGACTAGAGGTCATATAATATTTGGGAGAGTTGCTTCAGACTGATTAGAAGTTGTTTTGGTTGGTTTGGCTAGTATTGAGAGATGAGATGATCTTTAAGCATAGTTCTAAATTTATACGTAGTCAGGGATCCTGTCCCGGTTCAGGTAGTGAATTCCAGATCTTCGGGCCCTTCATGTACATTGCATTTTTGCAAAGTGTGAGACTGACACGAGGGATGTCGAAAAGTGCCTAGTGCCTTGTATTGTGACAGTGCCCTCCTGTACAACTTCTCTTCAGAATCTCCCAAAAGCAACATTTTTTTTTTTCAACAAGCTAGCCATATCCCACCAAGGCAGGGTGACCTAAAAAGAAAAACTAAAGTTTCTCTTTTTAAATTTAGTTATTTATACAGGAGAAGGGGTTACTAACCCTTGTTCTCGGCATTTTAGTCACCTCTTATGGCACGCATGGCTTTCGGAAGAAAAATTCTGTTCCACTTCTCCATGTCGTCACCAAAAGCATCTGTGACTACTCTGTCCTTAACAAATTTGCTATCTTTCAATCCCACACCTCTCTCAAACACCTTAGCATTCACTTCTTTTACTTACAGTATATCTATCTATCTTATTGTTTTGTATTTTTCCCCTACTTAATAAAGCATTTTGTAGTTGAAGTATAACAGTAATAAAAGGTCTTCTTTTGTTTTGGTACTTACTTTTCTTTTTTTTAACCATGTGTCAGCTCACAGTTATACTCCAACTGTAGTCTTGTTGGTGTTGGAGTGACTTGTATATAAAAATAAAATACAGTGGTACCTCGGGATACGAACAGCTCAAAACTCGAACAATTATGTAAGTGTATTTATGTAAATGCTTTTGTAAGTGTATTTTTGGGGGTCTGAAATGGATTAACCTAATTTACATTATTCCTTATCAGAACAAATTCGTTCGGTATCGGCACTCAAACAGCCTTCTGGAACGAATTAAGTTCGTATCCCGAGGTACCACTGTACATAGACTTTTTTTTTTCCCTGTTAATTTCTTTAAATTTTAATAATCTGTTTTCTTTGAGCTATTAAGTAAATTTTATTTGGAAATAATCTATTTAAAATGCTGTATTTTGATCCATGCCTTAATATACTAAGTTTACAGTTAAGTTGATTGCTGTTGTCCAAAGTTTGCATTCAATTATTAATTTAATTTCTGTTTACTAAGGGAATCACAATTGTATGACTGTACATGTCTATTTAATATACAGTATGTATTTAAGGGTTGAATGGGAATTTTAAGTTTTGTTAAAATATCTTGTAAAAAGCAAAAGCTTGCCTCCTAAATAGCTAATTGGAAAAATAGGATCAGTGTGATAGTGATCTCCCGAATCCTGAATTAAGTCACAACTTAATACTGTAACCTTGTTTTTCTTATCATATGAAGTCACATATATAATGTGTATAGATTGTAAATTTGTGTACAGTACTCTTTAATGTTAGGAATGAGGTAATGCTTTCTTTTTCCCAAGAGACATGTTCATTGTGAAGCACGAACTAATTATTTAACATGATTACCCTACCCTCGTGGGAGACTGCCAGTGTGGTATATAAAAAAGAAAATGAAATGCATTGCAGAAATCATAATTAATGAGTATATCAGATCTGAAATACAGTATTTGTGGTATCATAGATAATATGGGCTATAGGTAAATGAAAAATGTAATTGATATTTTATATTATTGCATACAGTACAGTATATGCACATTTACAGTAGTAAGAAAAGTTGAAGATGAATATAATTTTCTAATGGTGGCTATACAGAGTAAGATGTGGTAATTGAGGTGGCTTTTTTGTGATAACTTTTGTCATCCAAGAGTCACCTTAGGAGGGTTGCAGTGCCTTGTTTAGTAACATAATGTTTTGCATATCTGTTCTGCAAGCTTAACAGAGAAATACTTTCCCTATTAACATATCAAGTATTCCTACTAATTGTTTATTCCTC